AGGTGGTTAGATTGGTCTCAACTAGGGCCAGGGCCTTTTCACTACTGGCCCCGACTTGGTGGAACGCTCTGTCACAAGAGACTAGGGTTCTGCGGGACTTGACATCTTTCCGCAGGGCCTGCAAGACAGAGCTGTTCCGCCTGGCCTTTGGTTTAGACTCAGTCTGACCCTTATGTTTCCCTCCCCTTATGGTTTTGATCTATGGGTACTTTTGAAATGAGGCTGCATTTTAAATTACATTTTAACCTGTATTTTAAATTGGTTTTTTTTCTCCCTCTCTTTTCCCCTATTATGTTTTTACTGTGATTTTATTTTATTGGTGTTAGCTGCCCTGAGCCCGGCTCTGGCCAGGGAGGGCGGGGTATAAATAAAACATCATTATTATTATTATTATTATTATTATGATGATGATGATGGCCAGCCCCTTGTAATGCAGGAGTCACAGCTAAATGATAATATCATTTAAGGGACCCCGAGGGTCATCCAGCCCAACCCCAAATGCGGGAATCATAGAATCATGGAGTTTATTTATTTATTACATTTCTGTGCCACCTTTTCCCCTGCAAGGAGCTCAAAGTGCTTTACATGGGTCTCCTCCTCCCCATTTCATTCACGACAAGGTTAGGAAGGGTCCCCAAGGGCCCAACCGCCTGCAATGCGGGAATCTCTTGCCCAATGTAGATCACAGCTAATGTAGATCAACAGACTCCTTGAACTCTGTCCTGCAATGCAGTACCGAATAGTGTCTGACCAACTGGGAATATTAGTGTGAAGGCACCATACTTGAACCCCTAAGGGGAAATTTTTAGCAGGGGAGGAACCAAACCCCCAGGAGAGAGGACTACTGAATCTTACAAATATGCTCTCTCGGCAGCCAGACTTTTAGACGACAACAACAACAAGTGGTTTGGGATTCATTTTCAGGAAGTGATTGTTAGCGCATGAGAGCCAGAAAACTGAGGGGCACAAATCTATGGTGTAACTCAGTTTGGAGTACTGTGTGCAGTTCTGGATATTTTCAAATTCTACAATATCCAAAAAGGATATTGTAGAATTTGAAAAGGTTCGGAAAAGGGCATCCAAAATGACTGAGCGAGAGGAGCGACTCCCCTGAGAGTTGCAGCATTTTGAGTCTAGAGGAAAGGCGAGTTCAAGGCGACATACTAGAAGTTTATAAAATTATGCCTCTCTCAAAAACCAGAACTTGTGGACCTGCAGTGAAGCTGAATGTTGGAAGATTCAGGTCAGATAAAAGACGGGACTTATTCACGCAGCACAGAGTTTAACTGTGGAACTCCCTGCCACAGGAAGCAGCCATGGCCACCAACCTGGATGGCTTTAAAAGAGGGTTGGACAAATTCATGGAGGAGGAGGAGGAGGAGGAGGAGGAGAGGGCTCTGGGTGGCTCTGGGTGCAAATCCTGCTTGGCAGTTTCCTTTTGGAGCATCTAGTTGGGCCCTGGGCGAAGAGGATGCTGGATTAGACGGGTCTCCTTAGGTTCTTTTCTGTAGATGATGAACCTGGGACTGTTGTCCTGCCCCCCACCCCCTTACACTGATGCTGTAGCCTTATGAGGCTTTGCCCTCGGGTGGGGAAAACATTGCGCCTGGGAAAGGGAAGTGGGAGTCAACAGACACTCAAGGAATAGTTTCGGAGAAAAAGGTTTTATTTCTACCATCCATGAACTGGTAGAAGGAGCAAGTGTGATAGTCCACAAAAAGCATGCACAAAGTTCACAGTCATGTGCACAAACATATATACCCCTTTCCAGTTCCCTCCTCCTTTCTCCTCCTCCTTCCAGAGTCCTGCCCATGAGTTCCTTTGAGCATGAACAGAAAGCTGTCTTGGGACTATTGTGGACTCTTGGCACCCTTCCCAGGAAAGGGGAGTGAGAGCCAAGGGGTCGAGGAGCCCTGGTGGTTCAGCATGTCCAAGATGTTGCAACCGAATGAGATAAGATTCATTTCCCAGGCCTGAGTATTCTTGGCAATGCCAGAGCCTATTCATTAGCCTTTAAAAGTAACATTTTGCCTATGCACAGCATTTTGTGAGAATAAGCAGAGACAAGCAGAGAAAAGCTGTTTTGGATTTTTAGAAGACAAAAGGAATTTTGGACAGTTTTGAGGCCTGGTATGATTATTGAAGCCTGGGGTGATTTCACAGACAGGATTTGGGTATTCTGTCCCTTCAATGCTCCCCACAACCTCTCTTCGTAGGGGTCCTCCCTCTCCACTAACCGTTTCCCTCCCCCCCCCATATCATTTTTGTTAAATCTTCCAAAACATTTACCACCATACACATTCTTTTTAACGCTAACCGTTTCTGAGCAGATGTGAACAAGCTGGACACCCCCACCCCCCCACAGCTCAGGTCGCAGGTGGCAGTTGGGATTCTGGAGGGAGGGAGGAGGGCCCCCCAGGTGTGCGCAGAGGCTCCGCCCACTGGTCGCATGCTTCTCCCAGGAGGGAGGGGCTTGCCCCCGAGGCGGGCAGTTTTCTTGAGCAGGTCCACAGCCACCCCTGCGAGGGAGGACAGCAGCTCTCTTTCTCCCGCTTATGGTGGAAACATCACTTCCTGTCATATCCATCCTATATTAACTCTCAAAGATGGACAGGCTGCCCAGAGGAGGAGAAAGAGACCCCTCCCCACGGGCTCAGATTAATGGCTTGAACTCAAACGGGTAACCAGACCTCTGAGCCCAGACTTCCTATGCAGACGAGGTCTCACTGTGGCCAGCAATTGTGCTGCTGCATCCCGCACTCGCTACAGCTTCTGGATCAGACACGGGGGAAGCTCCACATAGAGCGCATGGCAGTAACTCAGTCCTGAAGTCATCAGTGCATGAACCACCGTGGCAAGGCTTCCCTGGTCCAGGAATGGCTGTTGGGCCAATCGTAGCTGGTCAAAGGACACCTGAACGCAAACGGTTTAAGACTCGGTAGAGGAGATGAGTTGCAGACCCCATGTGTCCCCGTTCAGCTGAACTCTCTTAGACGCCCACCTGGGATCTTCCCACTCGGCATCCTTTCCCAGGACACTCCATTCCCTTCCTCTTCCCACCCACTTTTCCATTTCTTCCCCAGCAGCGACTCAGCCTTCCTGGGCCGCTGGGCTTTGGGCTGGTTAGTCTCCCCCAGGAAATATCATGGCATGGAAGAGATGTCCAGGGGTCATCTTTACCAACTGCACTGGCTCCCGGTGAAGTACAGGGTCAGGTTTAAGGTGCTGGTTTTGACCTTTGAAGCCCTATGCGGCCTAGGACCCACGTACCTACGGGACCCCCTCTCCTGGTATGCCCTGCGGAGGACCTTAAGGTCCAGAAATGACAACACTTTGGAGGTCCCAGGTCTCAAGGTGGTTAGGTTGGTCTCAACTAGGGCCAGGGCCTTTTCACTACTGGCCCCGACTTGATGAAACGCTCTGTCCCAAGAGACTAGGGCCCTGCGGGACTTGACATCTTTCCGCAGGGCCTGCAAGACAGAGCTGTTCCGCCTGGCCTTTGGTTTGGACTCAGTCTGACCCTTATGTTTCCCTCCCCTTATGGTTTTGATCTATGGGTACTTTTGAAATGAGGCTGCATTTTAAATTACATTTTAACCTGTATTTTAAATTGGTTTTTTTTCTCCCTCTCTTTTCCCCTATTATGTTTTTACTGTGATTTTATTTTATTGGTGTTAGCTGCCCTGAGCCCGGCTCTGGCCAGGGAGGGCGGGGTATAAATAAAACATCATCATCATTATTATTATTATTATGATGATGGCCAGCCCCTTGTAATGCAGGAGTCACAGCTAAATGATAATATCATTTAAGGGACCCCGAGGGTCATCCAGCCCAACCCCAAATGCGGGAATCATAGAATCATGGAGTTTATTTATTTATTACATTTCTGTGCCACCTTTTCCCCTGCAAGGAGCTCAAAGTGCTTTACATGGGTCTCCTCCTCCCCATTTCATCCTCACGACAAGGTTAGGAAGGGTCCCCAAGGGCCCAACCGCCTGCAATGCGGGAATCTCTTGCCCAATGTAGATCACAGCTAATGTAGATCAACAGACTCCTTGAACTCTGTCCTGCAATGCAGTACTGAATAATGTCTGACCAACTGGGAATATTAGTGTGAAGGCACCATACTTGAACCCCTAAGGGGAAATTTTTGCAGGGGAGGAACCAAACCCCAGGAGTGAGGACTACTGAATCTTACAAATATGCTCTCTTGGCAGCCAGACTTTTGAGACGACAACAACAACAAGTGGTTTGGGATTCATTTTCAGGAAGTGATTGTTAGCGCTTGAGAGCCAGAAAACTGAGGGCACAAATCTATGGTGTAACTCAGTTTGGAGTACTGCGTACAGTTCTGGATATTTTCAAATTCTACAATATCCAAAAAGGATATTGTAGAATTTGAAAAGGTTCGGAAAAGGGCATCCAAAATGACTGAGCGAGAGGAGCGACTCCCCTGAGAATTGCAGCATTTTGAGTCTAGAGGAAAGGCGAGTTCGAGGCGACATGCTAGAAGTTTATAAAATTATGCTTCTCTCAAAACACCAGAACTTGTGGACCTGCAGTGAAGCTGAATGTTGGAAGATTCAGGTCAGATAAAAGACGGGACTTATTCACGCAGCACAGAGTTTAACTGTGGAACTCCCTGCCACAGGAAGCAGCCATGGCCACCAACCTGGATGGCTTTAAAAGAGGGTTGGACAAATTCATGGAGGAGGAGAGGGCTCTGGGTGCAAATCCTGCTTGGCAGTTTCCTTTTGGAGCATCTAGTTGGGCCCTGGGCGAAGAGGATGCTGGATTAGACGGGTCTCCTTAGGTTCTTTTCTGTAGATGATGAACCTGGGACTGTTGTCCTGCCCCCCACCCCCTTACACTGATGCTGTAGCCTTATGAGGCTTTGCCCTCGGGTGGGAAAAACATTGCGCCTGGGAAAGGGAAGTGGGAGTCAACAGACACTCAAGGAATAGTTTCGGAGAAAAAGGTTTTATTTCTACCATCCATGAACTGGTAGAAGGAGCAAGTGTGATAGTCCACAAAAAGCATGCACAAAGTTCACAGTCATGTGCACAAACATATATACCCCTTTCCAGTTCCCTCCTCCTTTCTCCTCCTCCTTCCAGAGTCCTGCCCATGAGTTCCTTTGAGCATGAACAGAAAGCTGTCTTGGGACTATTGTGGACTCTTGGCACCCTTCCCAGGAAAGGGGAGTGAGAGCCAAGGGGTCGAGGAGCCCTGGTGGTTCAGCATGTCCAAGATGTTGCAACCGAATGAGATAAGATTCATTTCCCAGGCCTGAGTATTCTTGGCAATGCCAGAGCCTATTCATTAGCCTTTAAAAGTAACATTTTGCCTATGCACAGCATTTTGTGAGAATAAGCAGAGACAAGCAGAGAAAAGCTGTTTTGGATTTTTAGAAGACAAAAGGAATTTTGGACAGTTTTGAGGCCTGGTATGATTATTGAAGCCTGGGGTGATTTCACAGACAGGATTTGGGTATTCTGTCCCTTCAATGCTCCCCACAACCTCTCTTCGTAGGGGTCCTCCCTCTCCACTAACCGTTTCCCTCCCCCCCCATATAATTTTTGTTAAATCTTCCAAAACATTTACCACCATACACATTCTTTCTAACGCTAACCGTTTCTGAGCAGATTTGAACAAGCTGGACACCCCCACCCCCCCACAGCTCAGGTGGCAGGTGGCAGTTGGGATTCTGGAGGGAGGGAGGAGGGCCCCCCAGGTGTGCGCAGAGGCTCCGCCCACTGGTCGCATGCTTCTCCCAGGAGGGAGGGGCTCCAAACTCATCCTCCCTTGCCCCCGAGGCGGGCAGTTTTCTTGAGCAAGTCCACAGCCACCCCTGTGAGGGAGGGCAGCAGCTCTCTTTCTCCCGCTTATGGTGGAAACATCACTTCCTATCATATCCATCCTATATTAACTCTCAAAGATGGACAGGCTGCCCAGAGGAGCAGAAAGAGACCCCTCCCCACGGGCTCAGATTAATGGCTTGAACTCAAACGGGTAACCAGACCTCTGAGCCCAGACTTCCTATGCAGACGAGGTCTCACTGTGGCCAGCAATTGTGCTGCCGCATCCCGCACTCGCTACAGCTTCTGGATCAGACACGGGGGAAGCTCCACATAGAGCGCATGGCAGTAACTCAGTCCTGAAGTCATCAGTGCATGAACCACCGTGGCAAGGCTTCCCTGGTCCAGGAATGGCTGTTGAACCAATCGTAGCTGGTCAAAGGACACCTGAACGCAAACGGTTTAAGACTCGGTAGAGGAGATGAGTTGCAGACCCCATGTGGCCCCGTTCAGCTGAACTCTCTTAGACGCCCACCTGAGATCTTCCCACTCGGCATCCTTTCCCAGGACACTCCATTCCCTTCCTCTTCCCACCCACTTTTCCATTTCTTCCCCAGCAGCGACTCAGCCTTCCTGGGCCGCTGGGCTTTGGGCTGGTTAGTCTCCCCCAGGAAATATCATGGCATGGAAGAGAGGTCCAGGGGTCATCTTTACCAACTGCACTGGCTCCCGGTGAAGTACAGGGTCAGGTTTAAGGTGCTGGTTTTGACCTTTGAAGCCCTATGCGGCCTAGGACCCACGTACCTACGGGACCCCCTCTCCTGGTATGCCCCGCGGAGGACCTTAAGGTCCACAAATGACAACACTTTGGAGGTCCCAGGTCTCAAGGTGGTTAGGTTGGTCTCAACTAGGGCCAGGGCCTTTTCACTACTGGCCCCGACTTGATGAAACGCTCTGTCCCAAGAGACTAGGGCCCTGCGGGACTTGACATCTTTCCGCAGGGCCTGCAAGACAGAGCTGTTCCGCCTGGCCTTTGGTTTAGACTCAGTCTGACCCTTATGTTTCCCTCCCCTTATGGTTTTGATCTATGGGTACTTTTGAAATGAGGCTGCATTTTAAATTACATTTTAACCTGTATTTTAAATTGGTTTTTTTTCTCCCTCTCTTTTCCCCTATTATGTTTTTACTGTGATTTTATTTTATTGGTGTTAGCTGCCCTGAGCCCGGCTCTGGCCAGGGAGGGCGGGGTATAAATAAAACATCATCATCATTATTATTATTATTATTATGATGATGGCCAGCCCCTTGTAATGCAGGAGTCACAGCTAAATGATAATATCATTTAAGGGACCCCGAGGGTCATCCAGCCCAACCCCAAATGCGGGAATCATAGAATCATGGAGTTTATTTATTTATTACATTTCTGTGCCACCTTTTCCCCTGCAAGGAGCTCAAAGTGCTTTACATGGGTCTCCTCCTCCCCATTTCATCCTCACGACAAGGTTAGGAAGGGTCCCCAAGGGCCCAACCGCCTGCAATGCGGGAATCTCTTGCCCAATGTAGATCACAGCTAATGTAGATCAACAGACTCCTTGAACTCTGTCCTGCAATGCAGTACTGAATAATGTCTGACCAACTGGGAATATTAGTGTGAAGGCACCATACTTGAACCCCTAAGGGGAAATTTTTGCAGGGGAGGAACCAAACCCCCAGGAGTGAGGACTACTGAATCTTACAAATATGCTCTCTTGGCAGCCAGACTTTTAGACGACAACAACAACAACAAGTGGTTTGGGATTCATTTTCAGGAAGTGATTGTTAGCGCTTGAGAGCCAGAAAACTGAGGGGCACAAATCTATGGTGTAACTCAGTTTGGAGTACTGCGTACAGTTCTGGATATTTTCAAATTCTACAATATCCAAAAAGGATATTGTAGAATTTGAAAAGGTTCGGAAAAGGGCATCCAAAATGACTGAGCGAGAGGAGCGACTCCCCTGAGAGTTGCAGCATTTTGAGTCTAGAGGAAAGGCGAGTTCGAGGCGACATGCTAGAAGTTTATAAAATTATGCCTCTCTCAAAACACCAGAACTTGTAGACATGCAGTGAAGCTGAATGTTGGAAGATTCAGGTCAGATAAAAGACGGGACTTATTCACGCAGCACAGAGTTTAACTGTGGAACTCCCTGCCACAGGAAGCAGCCATGGCCACCAACCTGGATGGCTTTAAAAGAGGGTTGGACAAATTCATGGAGGAGGAGGAGGAGGAGGAGGAGGAGGAGAGGGCTCTGGGTGGCTCTGGGTGCAAATCCTGCTTGGCAGTTTCCTTTTGGAGCATCTAGTTGGGCCCTGGGCGAAGAGGATGCTGGATTAGACGGGTCTCCTTAGGTTCTTTTCTGTAGATGATGAACCTGGGACTGTTGTCCTGCCCCCCACCCCCTTACACTGATGCTGTAGCCTTATGAGGCTTTGCCCTCGGGTGGGAAAAACATTGCGCCTGGGAAAGGGAACTGGGAGTCCACAGACACTCAAGGCATCGCTGCGGAGAAAAAGGTTTTAGTTCTACCATCCATGAACTGGTAGAAGGAGCACGTGTGATAGTCCACAAAAGCATGCACAAAGTTCACAGTCATGTGCACAAACATATAGACCCCTTTCCAGTTCCCTCCTCCTTTCTCCTCCTCCTTCCAGAGTCCTGCCCATGAGTTCCTTTGAGCATGAACAGAAAGCTGTCTTGGGACTATTGTGGACTCTTGGCACCCTTCCCAGGAAAGGGGAATGAAAGCCAAGGGGTTGAGGAGACCTGGTGGTTCAGCATGTCCAAAGATGTTGCAACTAGAATGAGATAAGATTCATTTCCCAGGCCTGAGTATTCTTGGCAATGCCAGAGCCTATTCATTAGCCTTTAAAAGTAACATTTTGCCTATGCACAGCATTTTGTGAGAAAAGCAGAGACAAGCAGAGAAAAGCTGTTTTGGATTTTTAGAAGACAAAAGGAATTTTGGACAGTTTTGAGGCCTGGTATGATTATTGAAGCCTGGGGTGATTTCACAGACAGGATTTGGGTATTCTGTCCCTTCAATGCTCCCCACAACCTCTCTTCGTAGGGGTCCTCCCTCTCCACTAACCGTTTCCATCCCCCCCCCCATATAATTTTTGTTAAATCTTCCAAAACATTTACCACCATACACATTCTTTCTAACGCTAACCGTTTCTGAGCAGATGTGAACAAGCTGGACACCCCCACCCCCCCACAGCTCAGGTGGCAGGTGGCAGTTGGGATTCTGAAGGGAGGGAGGAGGGCCCCCCAGGTGTGCGCAGAGGCTCCGCCCACTGGTCGCATGCTTCTCCCAGGAGGGAGGGGCTCCAAACTCATCCTCCCTTGCCCCCGAGGCGTGCAGTTTTCTTGAGCAGGTCCACAGCCACCCCTGCGAGGGAGGACAGCAGCTCTCTTTCTTCCGCTTATGGTGGAAACATCACTTCCTGTCATATCCATCCTATATTAACTCTCAAAGATGGACAGGCTGCCCAGAGGAGGAGAAAGAGACCCCTCCCCACGGGCTCAGATTAATGGCTTGAACTCAAACGGGTAACCAGACCTCTGAGCCCAGACTTCCTATGCAGACGAGGTCTCACTGTGGCCAGCAATTGTGCTGCTGCATCCCGCACTCGCTACAGCTTCTGGATCAGACACGGGGGAAGCTCCACATAGAGCGCATGGCAGTAACTCAGTCCTGAAGTCATCAGTGCATGAACCACCGTGGCAAGGCTTCCCTGGTCCAGGAATGGCTGTTGGGCCAATCGTAGCTGGTCAAAGGACACCTGAACGCAAACGGTTTAAGACTCGGTAGAGGAGATGAGTTGCAGACCCCATGTGGCCCCGTTCAGCTGAACTCTCTTAGACGCCCACCTGGGATCTTCCCACTCGGCATCCTTTCCCAGGACACTCCATTCCATTCCTCTTCCCACCCACTTTTCCATTTCTTCCCCAGCAGCGACTCAGCCTTCCTGGGCCGCTGGGCTTTGGGCTGGTTAGTCTCCCCCAGGAAATATTTCTTCCTGAAAGGTGGTGGGATGTGTACGTGTTGTGCTTCTTCAAACCTGGGGGTTCCTGCTACCCACCCAAATCTGCTAATATTTCTGCTGTTAGCTAGATAAGGATCGGCATTCAGAGAACAAGCTTTATCTCTCTCTCTGTGTACAATCCCTTCTGCTTTCTGTCTTATTCAATAATATACTGTAATTTCAAAACATACCACAGACTGATTGCTCAAATAGACCGCAGCTTCCTCCTTTTTGGCTTTGCTAACCTGCAGCCACTTTTGTTAAAATAGATACTGATAAGTAAAATGATGTGCTGTTTCTGTGACTGACATGCATTAAATTAATGGGCGTGTTCCTTTCTTGTAATGCAGACCGATATGGGAACAGGATGTGCAATTTATGAAATTTATGACTTGCTTGCTTGGAAATCAGACCCTCCAAGTGTCCTTATTTTCCAGAGACATTCCTGATTTACAGAAGCCATCCCAGTTTCTGATTTGATCCCAGAATGTCTCACTTTTCCATAGGATGTCCCCATTTTCACTGGAGAAATGTTGGCGGGTATGGGGTTATTCGACCCCCGAGCCGTCTGAGGGCAATCCTCTATAGGGAAGGGTTTTTTAAAAAATGTTTAATGTTTTATTATGTTTTTATATTTGTCGGAAGCTGCCCAGAGTGGCTGGGGCAACCCAGTAAGATGTGAGGTATAAACAGTAAAATTATCATTATGGAATGGGACGTCCATAATGAAGAGGCTTCATAAGAGAATCGAAAGCGGTGGGGGGCAGTCTGGTGTTCTTTGTGGACAAAAAGGACACAAATAAACCCAGGCTTGTTGTGGACTATAGGGCCGTCAATTTGGTGTCGGAACCCGTGACCTTCCCAATGCCCAGGATTGACGACATTTTAACACGGGTGAGGCAAGGGAAATTTTTTACCAAGCTGGACCTCAGGGGAGCATACAATTTGATTAGGATGAGGGAAGGGGACGAATGGAAGACCACAATGTTCACACCCCTAGGGGCCTTTGAGTACCTAGTTATGCCTTTTGGATTACAGTCGGGCTCCGCCTGTTTTCAAGCATTCATGCACCACGTGCTGGGGTCCCTGCTGTACAAGAACTGCGTAGCCTTCTTGGACGACGTCTTAATCTATTCAGACAATGAGGAGCAACATGTCAGGGACGTCAGGGAAGTGCTAAAACGACTGCAGAAGCACCAGTTGTGGGTCAAACTGGGAAAATGTCAGTTTCACGCCAGAGAAGTCGAGTTTCTGGGGTACAGGTTGTCAGACAAAGGCCTAGCGATGGACCCAAGCAAGGTGCAGGCGGTGCTGGAGTGGAAGGCTCCCAAAACCCGGAAGGACGTGCAGAGGTTCCTAGGGTTCAGCAACTTCTACAGGAAATTCATCAAGAACTTCGCCCACTTGACAGTGCCCATCACAGATTGTCTCAGTAGCAAAAGGAAGTTCATCTGGACACAGGGAGCCCAGCAGTCCTTTGAAAGACTGAAGAAGGCGTTCGCATCGGAAGAGCAGCTCCTGCACGTGGATCTGGAGAAACCCATGAGGCTAGAGACCGACGCGTCCGACAGAGCCATTGGGGCGGTTCTTTTGCAGCCAGGGAGGAGCAAGCAGGAATGGAAACCGTGTGCCTTTTTCTTGCGAAAGCTGAGCAAATCGGAGCAAAACTATACTGTGTATGACCGTGAACTGCTTGCGATCTATGCGGCGTTTCGTCGATGGCGCCATCTACTAATAGGGGCGCAGCACAAGATCCAGGTTTGTACAGATCACAAGAACTTGGAATACTGGAGGACCGCACTAGTGCTCAACCAGAGACAGATTCGATGGGCACAGGAGTTCTCCAAGTTTTCATTCGAAATCCGATACGTACCAGGGGAGGAAAATGTGAGAGCAGATGCTCTCTCCAGGAAGCCAGAGTACTGGGAAGGAGAGGGGCCGCCGGAGATACGACACGTGATCCCCGAGGACCGGTGTGTGTGTGTGGGGGGGGGAACGAGAACTGGCTGGACTCACTAGAAACGACGTGTTCACACAAACTAAAATCTGGGAAATCCGAGACGGAAGAGAAACCCAGGGCGGGTTTGAGGAGAAGGAAGGGGTGCTGTACTATAAGGGGGCGCTGTATGTACCGGGGGAGACCCTACGGGGGAAGGTACTCAAACAACTCCACGACAACCCCACAGCGGGACACTTTGGATAGCACAAAACCATGATGCTTGTCACCAGGCAGTTCTGGTGGCCCAGGGTGAGGGAGGATGTACGGGAATATGTACGGGGTTGTGACCGCTGCCAAAGGGCAAAGGGGGAGCGGGCTGCCCCCGCAGGATTACTGGAACCCTTACCCACGCCGCGAAAACCCTGGGAGGTGGTGTCCATTGATTTTATGACCAATCTGCCCAAGTCCTGGGGAAAGACAGCAGTCATGGTAGTGGTCGATTTACTGACAAAAATGTGCCATTTTATAGCCTGCTCACATGCGATTACGGCAGAGGAAACAGCCAGGTTGTTTGTAGATCACATCTTCAGGTTGCATGGGGCTCCCTCAAGGGTTATCTCCGACCGCGGAAAACAATTTACTTCCCGGTTCTGGAGGAAGCTCATGAGCTTGCTGCAGGTCGAAGTGGGCTTCTCGACGGCGAGACACCCAGAAACCAACGGGCAAGCAGAAAGAGCGAACAGTATACTCCAGCAATACCTACGCTGTTACGTCAGCGAGAGGCAGAACGATTGGGTGGAGAAACTAGCGCTGGCTGAATTTGCGTACAATAACGCTGAACGTGTGTCCACGGGAATGAGCCCGTTCATGGCCAATTATGGGTGTCACCCCAGGGCCTTCCCGGGGAGTGGGGAGGAAAGTTGGAGCGTACCTGCGGCAGAGCAGATTGTGGAAGAAATGGAGGCCCTGCACCAGCAACTTAAGATGAACTTGGAGCCGGCCAAGGAAATTTACAAGAGGCAGGCAGACAAGCACCGTAGGGAAGGGGAGACCATACGGGTGGGGGACAGAGTGTGGTTGTCAACCCAAGGGTTACCCTTTAAGGGGGGGTGCAAGAAGTTGCAGCCCAGGCGGCTGGGACCGTTTGAAGTAACACAGCAGGTGAACCCCGTGGCATTCAGGCTCAAGTTGCCAGACAGCATGAAAACACACCCGGTGTTCCATAGGTCCCTACTCTCACCGTACAGGGAGGGGCGGGAATTCCCGGGGCGAGAGGGAGAAGTCACCACACACCCGCAGGTAGAAGAGAGGGAGCACCACCACTTGGCCACGGAAATACTTGATTCAAGGTGGCGAGGACGCCAGGTGGAGTACTTGGTAGCTTGGGAGGGAGAACCCGGGTCAGAAAACACGTGGGTTCCCGCGGAGGCAATTGATGATGGGTATCTGGTGGAGGAATTCCACCGCCTGTTCCCGGGCAAACCCAAACCACTGGCGAGATTCTGGGAGGAGCAATTTGGAACCACAGACGATGAAGAGGATTTTGTGGGTTTTCCTGCCTCCGAGGAGGAGGGAGGAGAGGTTTCGGAGGAAGAAGAATCAGACTGGGAGGCCCACCCTGCGGGAAGAGATCAGAACGGGTGGGAAGCGGGCTTCGAATCCTCTGAGGATGACGACAGCTCCTTCCGGGGGTTCCCTGCATCGTCGGCCGAAGAAAGGGACGAAGTTGGATCAACAGGTTGGGCCGGGGGTGGAGGGGGTCCTGGGGGAGGTGGATGTCAGGAACTGACATCGGAGCTAGAGGTGGAGGGAAGGCTCTCTAATGATGCTGGAGAAGGGCCCAGCAGGGAGAGAGGCAGCTCAGCAGATGGGGAAGCAATTCAGTGCAACACCAGGAATAAGGAGGGGCAGATGTGGGAATCGGCGAGAGGGCTCCCAGACTCTTCACTGGACACCAGCGGGGAGAGCACGGGTCCTCCGCTACCCACGCCCTCCCTGCGCAGAAGACTTCCGCGCAGAGAGAGTAGGAGGAGACTGGGTGTCAAACAACTTTTATGTTGGAAAAGGTTCAAGAAACGCCCACTGACGGATTCTGCTAGCGACTGAGGCAGCCACGAATTGAAGGGCTGTCCAGGCAGAAAGGTTTAACAAGGCAACATAGCCAGGAGAGGCGGCAACTTACACATGAGCAACCCCATACCATTATACCAAGGTACCACTGTATTGTCAAAAATGGAATAGAGAAATGCATTATTTTAGGAGAAATTGCTTTGCAAGCTTGTACGTGTTAGACAAACTTTCATATAAATCTATGTATGTTAGGAGTAAATTGAACTAAGATGGGGTGAATTTTCAGCAGGACATGAAACAAATATATACTCACAAATTGATGTGGAAATGTGGAGGACTGGACTTAAGAATCAAAAAATGAGAAATGAAGATAAAATTTGCCCACCCCTAACCCCAACCTAAGCTATGGAATACAGGACATCCCTAGTGGGGTGTCATGTATTTATTTATTCTTATTTAGCAAGATACGCACACACATATATAATTTAAAATACTGATGAAAACAGACTTTAAAAACATTAAACATATCTGAATTATCAAGATATATCTACAAACCAATAGCTTTTTAAAAGCAATGTACCCAATGAAATTCCATGTCTCTGTAGGCTTGCCTGTGGAAAGGAAGTTTAAGCAACGTTTAAAAGAAGCCTGCCCAATGAAGGACGGAGATTATGTGGCCCTTGTGCAGGGCCGTCTTAAGCATATCTGGTGCCGTGGGGCAAAGATCCCTCCCCGCCCCTTCCCCAGAGCTGTCGCCCTTTTCCCAATCCTCTGCAGGGTTCGCTCTTCTCCCGAGGAGGCTTGGGAAGGAAGCTGCACGCTCACCAGCCCTATGGTTGATGGGCACAGCTGGCAGGCGTGCAGGGAAAGGGGAGGCAAAGCCGTGCAGCTCCCCCACTTGCAGGGGCGCCCCTGAGAGGCCGGTGCCCTGGCGCAATGAGCCACTAAGCCCAATGGGAAAGACGGCTCTGCACTTGTGAAAAGTCCCAGTTCCGGAGATGGGAGTCAGGCAGGCCGCTCCTTCAAGTAAACTGATCCCAAGCTATGGAGGGCTTTGTATACTAATAGTCGCCCCTCTAATGTGGCTGAGTAACAACCCAGAAGTGCAGATTGAAATGCTCTTTGATGGTGTTGAGGGGAAGGATGTAGAGAAACAAGCCTCTCCCTCTTCCTGTTACTGGAGGAATCTCTGTGAAAACAAGACCTATCATTGGGTATGTTTTTGCTAGAATGAACTTAGTTGAACATTGAGGAAAGGAGCTTCCCCCGCCTCCTCTCCGCCCATGAAACCTCAAATCCGCCTGTTTCCTGTTTCTGTGAGAAAAAACACATAAAGCTGCAAGTAAGTTTCAAATGGAAGCGAGCGTGCAGATAGAGATATCCGCTCTGCCTGCACCTAACTTGCTTCACCTCAAAAACGAACGGGCGTGGACAATGAAGTCCCCTCTCCACAGAGTCCTGGTGTTGCATCTGATGGGAATCTTCACAGGAGACAATCAGGTATGAAAAGGCACCTTGGAGGGTGGAGGAGGGGGCAAAGGTGGGCTTCAGTCCAGAATTCAATCTTAAATCTGGAGTTTAAAACTTTCAAAAATAGAGTAGAAACAGATTAAAGGACACTCCTTTTTTGGAGGTTTTATAGCAGAGGGTGGATGGCCATCTGTCAGGCATGCTGCATAACCTTGACCTGTGATAAGAGCCTCTATCGCAAAGTCTCACCTTCCCAGCCTCTTCGCATGCTAAGCTGCTTACCCATCTTGTTCTTTTCTGCTTGAGGTCTCCCCTAACTGCAGCCCAAGACAAGACCGTTTTTCAGGCAACGAGCTAAGACTTGACATGGCCCTGGATTCCTTCGATGACCAATACATGCGCTGTGAGATGGAGAAGGAGATTGCACGGCTAAACCAAACCGAGTTCCTCAAAAATAAAATTTATGCCAAAGCCTGGGGAGAAGCAGTCAGCTTGATGTATTATAGCAAATGGCCTGGAAACCTCAAGCCAGAGTACGCTGCAGCAATCATGGCTTATACCCGTGAAGAACCCAAGTTGTATCCTGATTTCAACGCAGCTGTAAGAAAAGCTGGGAAATCCAAGGAATATTACCTGAATAATTTCAACTTCAAGACCTTCCACTTTCTCCTGACCAGAGCCCTTCAGGACCTGAGGACCTCCAACACCCCCAGCCCCCCCTGCTACGAGGTGTTTCGAGGGGTCAGAAATATCCACTTCAGCACTACTGTTGATGATACGGTCCGTTTTGGGCAATTCGCATCCTCATCACGGCAAGAGGGGACTGCCCAATGTTTCACTGAAGTTGGACAGCCTGTGGCCAAAACCATCTTTGAGATTTACACTTGTCATGGGGTTCTCATCAGAGAATTTTCTTCCTTCCCCAATGAGGACGAGGTTCTGATCCCACCTTATGAGCAGTTCAGGGTTGTAAGTTCCAGAAAGGATGTGGATGGTACAACCCGCATACAGCTCCGCTCTGCTGGGAAATTCAGCAAATACAACTGTGCATATGCAAGTGGTAAGAACCCAAGCAATTACTCCTGGGATCAGAGAATAGCCAAGTTTCTTTCTTTCCTTCCTTCCTTCCTTCCTTCCTTCCTTCCTTCCTTCCTTCCAAGAATGGAAGAGGGATAACTGTCATTAGTCATAGAGTAGACCTATTGATATCAGTAGATTTAAGTCAATTTATTTCATTGCTCCCACTCTGGATATGTCTGATGTTGGATGTCAACCCCTAATATAATGAAGTAAAAGCAGCATCAAATAGCAGAGTTAAAATTATAGTTACAAAGCAGAGGCAAAGAAAGCAAAAGAAAGCTAACGGTACCCTATATCTGGGATGGGGAACCTCAGGCCCAGGAGCTGAAGGAAGATGCCTCAGGACTCTCTCTTGGCCACAGCCCTTTGCCTCCTGGGCTCCACTCCTCACTGGCTCAGCTCTGCAGCCTCCTCACATACTTCTCACGGTGTGGAATGTGTTTGTGGGGTGAAATAATGCTGAGAGAGAGACGGGGGGGTGGTGGATGACCCCTTTTGGAGAATGAAGGATAATAATACATGAATGACTCATGTTGTGGTTCTTGTTTCAGGCGGGAGCTATGAGAACAATGCTGTGTCACCAAACTTTTCTGTCCTTGTTTGGATGCTGATCTCCTGGGCATTTTCAGCAACATTCTGCATCTGAGGAAGTGGGAAAGAGTGGCTTCAGCATCCCTTACATCCAGAACCACCTGAGCTTGATTACTTTATGAGAATATATGCTGCTGTGGGGGGAGGGGAGGAAATAAGAATTTGTCAATAGGTAGAATAGGCAAAAAAAATATTTACCGGTAGTTCATTTTTTAAAAAAAGTTTACCCTTGTTACTGCCTTTCCCTCAAGGAGACAGAGGTGGCGCACAAGGTTTTTCTCATTTTGATCAGCAAAGCAACATTGCGCTCTAGGATTGAGAGGCAATGACCTCTGCAAATCAGCTGCGTTGAAGGATTCCTGCCTAATCCTGAAGACATGCCTCTTTACCTTTGCTAATGCAAACAGTTTCCTATTGCTTCCATACAATGCTCCTAGTAGTTGTATTGCAAACATTTCCATACAAGGTATTGTTAGCACTGTGCTCCATACAAGGTATTGTTAGCACTGCATGAGCTTTGGCACGGTCTGAGAGATCTCACACAATTTTGGGCGAGATCTCTTTGGCAACGGGCAGAATGTTGTCTGAGATGGCGCTGCCCCTCTATTGGCACCACTTCTCCAGCGCAAAGGCGACAGGTAGGGCTGGGCGATAACTAGTTTTCAATATTGTGATATGAACATCGCAATATATTAATATATCGTGATATCTGAAAGATGGAACTACGCAGAGGTGAACAGGACAATTTCCTGGCAACTCCTACTATTTAAGAGTCTAAAACTGACAAATGATGATATTATCAGTTGTCTCATGGTCACTTTCTGCAGCAGGCGAGCCAAAATGCACCCAAATGAGACTTTGGGTTTGGGGTTTGGCAACCAAATGGTGGTAATCAGAACACTCCAAAGTACAGCAGGCCACTGCCATTACTGCCACCACTTTTCTTTTATGCATATGCTTTAATTTATATTTTAATTCAGTTGTGCTATCTTTCTTCTTCTACAAGGGTGCCAACTTGAATAACATATTTGGGCATCCAGGTAACCCCCGCCCCACCTAATTGACCACACGACATTTGAATGGCAGTGCCCATAAACTTGCCCCCCCTAAAATATTTTATTGGGGGGGGGCGAAGGGACCTCAGCCCCTAGGACTTGGCTCCTAGGTTCTTGCATGTTATTCAAGTGATTTATTTTATTTACATATATAAAACTAGTCAATCAATAAATAAGAAATGCATGAAAAAAGAAGACGTCCATCAGGATAGATTGGATTAAGGCACAGAGCGCCATTCCGGCAATCAGCTGCCTAGCTAACACGCCAAAATCGCCCTCCCCACAACCTCCCCTCACTCCGATTTATTCACGTGAGAGTCGCGCTGCACTCTGGACCCCAAATATGGGAGCGGAGCCACCTCTATGGGTTTCCTCGGGAGCAGCGTCCCGGAATCTTACCCCCGAAGTTTTGGAGCCCAAAAAAAGAAACGAAGGAGAAAGTGAGCGACACGCAGTTCCTTTCGGGGCCGCGGGAGGCAGACGCAAACGCGCGGCGCAACAGAGATGGCACTTTCGGTTTCGTTTCCATCCACCCGGGCGGAGCTTTTGCGCACCAGCTGGGCGGGCGGGGAGGGGCGGAGGGGGGCTCGGCAGCGGCTCTCCAGGCCCCACAATCCCCGCTTTGTGTCCCGGTCCTCGCGCATCACGCGGGGAGACTCGCGCAAGAGGACAGCGCGGGCTGGGCGTGAGGAGTCCTGCTGCCCTGGGCAGGCTTCGTGTTAGGAGGAGGGACCTCGGACGGATGGACTTGGCATCGCCCATGGGCCCCGATCCCCCTTCCCTCTTGCAAGCTGGCTCTGGCGTTGAACCGGGAAAGCGCAAGGCGCTCCCCACGCCCGGTCTCCCCGGGTCTCCCCTCTGGCCAAGGAATCAGGAGGGAGATGCGCGCCACGGCAGCGCGCTCAGCTGAGCTTCCAGGAACCCTCTGCTCTCCCTCCTGAAGGGCGTCTTGGAACAAAAGGAGGCGCGATCGTGGGACGCTGAGCTCCGCGTCCATCCACCTTCAAGGCTGAGAGATTCTGGCACAGTGCCGGATCGAGGTATAAGCTCAACAAGCCATAGCTCAGGGCCCCACTCTCTTGGGGGGGGCAAAAACTTAAAGGGAAAAAACCCCTGGATGTACATTTCCGAAATATAAGATAAAAAACAAATCAAATAAAACCTACATACAGCAACAGCATTTTGTGTTGTGCAGGCTCCTATGATGTAAGTCTTGGGCCCCGCCTGCTCGCCTGCTCCCTCAAATATCCCTGGTTTGCTCCTTTCTATATATAGGGTAGGGGACACAGGTGGCGCTGTGGGTTAAACCACAGAGCCTAGGACTTGCCAATCCGAAGGTTGGAGGTTCAAATCCCCAAGACGGGGTGAGCTCCCGTTGCTCGGTCCCTGCTCCTGCCAACCTAGCAGTCCCTGCTCCTGCCAACCTAGCAGTTCGAAAGCACGTCAAAGTGCAAGTAGATAAATAGGAACCGCTCTGGCGGGAAGGTAAACGGCGTTTCCGTGCGCTGCTCTGGTTCGCCAGAAGCGGCTTAGTCATGCTGGCCACATGACCCGGAAGCTGTCTGCAGACAAACACTGGCTCCCTTGGCTCATATAGCGAGATGAGCGCCGCAACCCCAGAGTCAGTCACGACTGGACCAAATGGTCAGGGGTCCCTTTACCTTTACCTTTATATATAGGGTGCTTACATTCTGCTATTTGTAATTATTAGTAGTTTGCATCATATATTTACACCTATTATTATTTCATTTACACCTATTATCATTTCATTTACACCTATTATTATTATTTCATGTTATAGCAAGTTTCTAGAGACTAGATGATGAGTCTTTGTAAATTGCGTTTCTAAAGGAACTTTTGTTATTGCCAAACGCCAGTGTGTTTGCATTATTTTGTTATGAATAAAAAATCATTTTAAGTTAGAGCTTAATAATTATTTCACTATTAATATACTTCTTAATTGTATTTCACTATTAATATACTTCTTAATTGTACTTCAGTTCAACAATTACTTTGAAAAACCCCCACGTATTTTGTTATGTGCAAATGGCTTGAGATACCTATGAGGTCCATCAGTGACCATATAGCATATATTCAGCACAAAAAACAGTGACAATTTGTTGCTGACAAAGGACAGCTGTACATAGAAAGGGCCCCATTACCTTCTGTAGCTGAGGGCCTCATCAAACCTAAACCCAGCCCTGTTCTGGCACACGCAAAATGCATTGTGGGTGGGCAGCTCGTGCCTGGAAAGGGGCCATTTCCCCAGCCCCCCCTCAAAGTGAGCATGGGCGTCTTACTGAAAGATCCGACTTCTGGAGGAGAAATGCCCCTGTGAGGTGTGGAGTATGGGCTTGTCTCTGACGCCCTGTTGTCACGCAACTTGCACTTTCCTGCAAGCAGGTCAGACCGAATGTGTTATGTACTGAAGTTCTCACCCTGGGCCAGCAGGGGGATACTGTAGATAGTTTTCACTCAGGTCCACATATGCAAATAAGGGTTTGAAAGTGACATTCAGTGATTGGATAGTTACAGAAAGTTGCTACAGTTGCATTGTAGTGGAGCTCTATATAAGCAGGCTGGCGGAACCCTTCAGTTCATTTTTTTTTAAAAATAATTTTTATTAAGGTTTCAATCAAAAATTGAACAGAAAAAACATAAAAAAGATACACAAATACACAATACAAATCCCAGAAAAAAACAAAAAAAAAACACGAAAAGCAAGAATCAACAATAAAAAAAAGAAACATAACAATTAAAAACAATATCTCTTTTCCATTTCCGTTTTTGAATTTACTTATTTTCTGGACTTCCTCATACCTCCCTCTTTTGTATTCCAATCCAAATTGTTTGTCCAGCAATTTCTTTTCCACTTTTTTAATCCCAATCTTTAATTTTAATATAATATATAACACTTAAACTTCTTTAATCCTAATCTTTAATCTTAATGTAATATAACATTGAAATTTTACCTCTTAAGTACCAAGTTTCCATTTCCTTAAACATCTTTAATCCTAATCTTTAATCTTAGTCTATCGATAACTTTAACCTGTACAGCTGGAAACCACTTATTTTCAATCCAACATCACTCTAACATTCTTTAATTTTGCAATGTTTCTGAAGATAGTCTTTGAATTTCTTCCAATCTTCCTCCACCAACTCTTCTCCCTGGTCACGGATTCTACCAGTCATTTCCGCCAGTTCCATATAGTCCATCAGTTTCATCTGCCATTCCTCCAGCGTGGGAAGTTCTTGTGTCTTCCAATACTTTGCGATGAGTATTCTTGCTGCTGTTGTTGCATACATAAAGAATGTTCTCTCCTTTTTTAACACCATTGGGCCGACTATGCCCAGGAGAAAGGCCTCTGGTTTCTTAGGGAAGGTATATTTAAATACCTTTTTTTAATTCATTATATATCATTTCCCAGAAAGCCTTAATCTTTGGGCACGTCCACCAAAGGTGAAAAAATGTACCTTCAATTTCTTTACATTTCCAACATTTGTTATCGGGCAAATGATAGATTTTTGCAAGCTTGACTGGGGTTATGTACCACCTGTATATCATTTTCATAGTATTCTCTCTTAAGGCATTACATGCCGTAAATTTCATACCTGTGGTCCACAACTGTTCCCAGTCAGCAAACATAATGTTATGTCCAACATCCTGTGCCCATTTAATCATAGCCGATTTTACCGTTTCATCCTGAGTATTCCATTTCAGCAGCAAGTTATACATTCTTGACAAATTCTTAGTTTTGGGTTCTAACAGTTCTGTTTCTAATTTTGATCTTTCCACCTGGAAGCCAAATTTCTTGTCCAATTTAAATGCCTCCATTATCTGAAAATAATGAAGCCAGTCTCGCACTTTGTTTTTTAATTTTTCAAAACTCTGCAATTTCAGTCTATCTCCGTCTTGTTCCAAAATTTCCCAATATTTTGGCCATTTGACCTCCATATTGACCTTTCTCAAGGCTTTCGCTTCCATTGGTGACAGCCACCTTGGGGTTTTGTTTTCTAACAAATCCTTATATCTTATCCAAACATTAAATAGCGCTTTCCTGACAATGTGGTTTCTAAATGCTTTATGTGCTTTGACCTTATCATACCACAAATATGCATGCCATCCAAATACATTGTTAAAACCTTCCAAGTCCAAAATGTCAGTGTTTTCAAGAAGTAGCCATTCTTTCAACCAGCAAAAGGCTGCTGATTCATAGTAAAGTTTGAGGTCTGGCAGGGCAAATCCGCCTCTTTCCTTTGCATCCGTTAGAATTTTAAATTTTATTCTGGGCTTCTTGCCCTGCCAGACAAATTTAGAAATATCTTTCTGCCACCTCTTGAAACAATCCATTTTGTCAACAATCTGCAAAGTTTGAAACAAAAACAACATTCTAGGCAATACATTCATTTTTATCGCAGCAATACGGCCTAGCAGTGAAAGCTTCAAATTTGACAAAATTTCTAAGTCTTTTTTCACTTCAGACCAACATTTTTCATAATTATCTTAGAATAAATTCCCATTTTTTGCTGTCATGTTAATCGCTGAACCCTTCAGTTCAGTTCTGTTCTGGCCTGTGAATAAACAAGAGCTGTTTGAAGAATCGCTGTGTCGTCTGATATGTTCACCCACAACTTAACAGCAGCTTCTTCCTTTTTTGGCTTTGCTAATCTGCAGCCACTTTTGTTAAAATAGATATTGTTAAGTAAAATGATGTGCTGTTTGTGTGACTGTCATATATTAAAATAATAGGCATGTTCCTTTCTTGTACTGCAGGCCAATATGGGAACAGGATGTGCAATTTATGAAATTTATGACTTGCTTGCTTGGAAATCAGACCCTCCAAGTGTCCTTATTTTCCAGAGACATTCCTGATTTACAGAAGCCATCCCAGTTTCTGGTTTGATCCCAGAATGTCTCACTTTTCCTTAGGACGTCCCTATTTTCATCAGAGAAATGTTGGAGGGTATGGGAAATGTCAGGAGAAACTCATTTGGCGTGTGCCTGTTACCTGCTGGCTTTCAAAGGGAGAGCAGCTTGATCTCTTTTGCCCTGCCAACCATTCCCTTCTGCAGCTGGAGATTGTTCTGCCCCCCAAATGGACCAACCTTCTGCAAAACACAGTCTCTGTTTCCATTTCACTAGAAGACTATTGCAAACTTTGCCTTGGATCCAGATTCAGTAAGTGCAGTTCCTCCCACCACTGCCAGATGTCATTGCAGCACCGATCCTAGAGGTGATCAGCTGTCACCTTCTGCAAACTGGTTTTCATTTGCAAAGTCCCCCTTCCAGTCTCCCAGATTGCCACTGGGGTCCTGTCCTGAATGGAGGGCCAGGATGTCACACACACACACACACACACACACACACTCCCCTGCTGCGTGATGCTTGCCTTGTGAGGGGGAATACCAGAAGAGAGGCAATGTGTGGGGGGAAACAGGCACACAGCAAATTCCTCCCCTTCCATTTCGGGGCATGCATATAGACAATGGGGAGATTCCATTTTTGCAGGTGTGGTTGTCAATGGAGATCCCAGGGTGTTAGCTAAATCTCGTTGATGAATATGGAGTACACCCAACGGGGACAGACTTGATAATGAAAGGGGGAAATCTCACATATTACCAATTCTAGTTTAGCAGAATATTAGAAAGCCCCGAAATGTCTGCCAGAATGCATTTGCAATCTGATTTAGAATGTTAATAATCTGAATAAATGGTTGAAACTGAGTCATTTGGCTAAGTTTCCCAATCATCCTAGTCAGTGTGGTGCAGTGGTTAGGGTGTTGGACTAGGACTTGAGAGACCTCTGCATGAGGCAGCCGTTGCCAGTCAGAATCCTGGGAAAGATGACCCCAAGGACTTCTCTGGAGTAAGGCAAGTTCATAGGCAGACTCTTCCACAGAAGCTTGCCTGGTGCTACCATCAGTTTGGCCACCTGACAGTTCTGGATCGCAGTGAGGGGCCTGACCTGATCTGGGGCTGTCTCGATCCAGCTTGACCCAAGACCAGATCCCTCTGAACTGGCTCAGGATTTGGACTGATGGATTGTTGGTGAAGGACCCTGTGTGAGAGGCAGGGAAGTAAGGATCTTCCAAGGTGGGAAGCTGGGAGAAGAAAGAGAAGCTCCCAGGTGAGAGCTGGGAGGCTCCACCCCCTTCTGTGCGGGTTAAGAGTTAAGAGCTACCTGTCAGAGATGACTTTGCACCTTTCTTTTTCTTCTTCTTTAGATCAGTTTGCTTTTCAATGAAATGTAATATGAAAAGTCTGAATAAAACCTTAATTATAAAAAACTGGGGAAAGGATTTGGGCTTCAACTGAATGGGTTGCACAGCTCTGCTACCCAGCATGTCCTCCTGGCCCTACTAAAATCTCGTGCTGCCTCAGGTGTGGTGGAGACACTCTCTCAGCAGTCAGGCTGGGTTAAGGTCCAACTGCTGGTCCAACCTCTGTATGAGGAACGGATGCCATCTTGTAATTCGCCTCAGGTAGCAAAATGTCTTGCGCAGGCCCTGCTCAGGAGACACTGATGAGACCCTTCTTAAAGAACAGAGTAGCTTTTATTTAGAGGCTGTTTCCCGGCACAGCTGCAGGAAGCAGGCAAGGAGCAGTAAAACATGACTCCCCAAACATGGGAGAAATCAGTGGGCAGTTGTGGTTACAGCATGCAGCGTTCAAAATGCAAAGTGCACAAGACATCTCCGGCAGTCAAGTTTCTCAGCAGTCTCCCAGTGCAGGGAATGAGGCAGGATCTGGTCTGACCTAGTTGTCAGCCAGCAGAGGTGATCTGGTCATGCCCTAGTTCTGGTGAATATGGCTTCTAGGCATGGATCCTTCCGACTGGATTTCTGATTCAGCTCCAGGAATTCCTTGGCAGGGAGCCTCTTTGGCACTGCTGGTACAAAGAGAATATTCTCCCCCAAAATGCAGATATATCCAGGGTTAAATGTTTTCAAAAGGAAATTATATCCTACTGGATCTTCAAAAAGACATCTAGATGGCTAGCAATAAGAAAATGAAAGAAAAAATACCCCTTCCTCTTGGTTCATGTGGGAACCAATGACACTGCAAGCAATAGCCTCCAGAAGATCAAAAGAGACTACGAGGCTCTGGGCAGGAAATTGAAGCAATTAAATGCACAAATTGTCATCTCATCTGTCCTCCCAGTTGAACGACGTGGCCCAGGGAGAGAGGGAAAAATAGTGGAAGTGAACAGCTGGCTTCGCAAATGGTGTAAACAGGAACGGTTTGGATTCTTAGATCACGGACTGCAGTTTCTTGAAGATGGACTTCTGGCAAGCGATGGGCTGCACCTCACAACGGTTGGGAGAAATGTTTTTGCCAAAAATCTCAGAAACCTCATCAGGAGGGCTTTAAACTGACTAATGTGGGGGAGGGAGACAGTGTTCCTGAAGGTAGGAGTCTATCAATTGATGAAGATGATCATTCAAATGTCATAGACCAAATGGAGCAAACTGCACGCAGACCTAGTGGTGGGAGGAAAAAATCCTTAAATAAGAGACACGGAGGAATGATTAATGGACTTCAATGTCTGTACACTAATGCGCAAAGCATGGGAAATAAACAAGATGAGCTTGAGCTCTTGGTACAGCAAACTAAATATGACATAATAGGCATCACTGAAACCTGGTGGGATAAGTCCCACGATTGGAATGTAATAATGGAGGGATACAATCTATTTCAGAGAAACAGACCAGACAAGAAAGGAGGAGGAGTGGCGTTATATGTCAGGGATGTGTATACCTGTGAAGAGATCCAAGATTTAGAACCTCAAAGCCAAAGTGAGAGCATTTGGGTCAAAATTAAGGGAGAGAAGAATAACAGTGACCTCATTGTGGGAGTTTACTATAGATCCCCAAGCCAAACGGAGGACATAGATGATGCCTTCCTGGAACAGATGGCCAAGCATGCAAAAGGAAGGGAGATAGTAGTAATGGGGACTTCAATTACCCGGATATTTGTTGGATGTCAAACTCAGCCAAGAGCATAAGGTCAAACAGATTCCTCACTGGCCTTGCAGACAACTTCATTGTCCAGAAAGTGGGAGAAGCAACAAGAGGAACAGCCATTTTAGATCTGGTCCTAACCAATGTTGATGACCTGGTTAGTGGGGTAGAAGTGGAAGGATCATTAGGCGCGAGTGATCATGCTCTTCTGAAGTTTACTATACAGCGGAAAGGAGCAGCCAAGCATACTAGGACTCAATTTCTTGACTTTAAGAAAGCCGACTTCATAAAACTTAGGGAAGTGCTGGGTGAGATCCCATGGACAGTAATACTAAAAGGAAAGGGAGTTCATGATGGCTGGGAGTTTGTTAAGAGGGAGATAGTAAAAGCACAACGTCAGGCAATACCAATGAGACGGAAACATGGAAGGTGCCTAAAGAAGCCAGGGTGGCTATCTAAAGAACTTTTAACTGAGTTAAGATTAAAAAGGATGTGTACAAAAAATGGAAAAGGGGGGAAACCACCAAAGAGGAATTCAAACAAATAGCCAGCACGTGTAGACACAAAGTCAGAAAAGCTAAAGCACAGAATGAACTCAGGCTTGCTAGAGAGGTTAAAAGCAACAAAAAAGGCTTTTATGGGTATGTTCGTAGCAAAAGGAAGAACAAAGAAACAGTGGGGTCACTCAGAGAAGATGGTGAAATGCAAACAGGGGACACAGAAAGGGCTGAACTCCTCAATGCCTTCTTTGCCTCAGTCTTCTCCGATAAAGAAAACAATGCCCGACCTGAAGAATTTGGAGCAAATGATTCAGCAAAGGAAACACAGCCCAGAATAACTAAGGAGATAGTACAAGAATACTTGGCTAGTTTAGATGTATTCAAGTCTCCAGGGCCAGATGAACTGCATCCAAGAGTATTAAAAGAACTGGCAGATGTGATCTCAGAACCACTGGCAGTCATCTTTGAGAATTCCTGGAGAACAGGCGAAGTCCCGGCAGACTGGAGGAGGGCAAATGTTGTCCCTATTTTCAAAAAGGGGAAAAGAGAGGACCCAAATAATTACCGCCCAGTCAGTCTGACATCAATACCAGGGAAAATTCTGGAGCAGATGATTAAGCAAACAGTCTGTGAGCACCTAGAAAGGAATGCTGTGATCACTAATAGTCAGCATGGATTTCTGAAAAATAAGTCATGTCAGACTAACCTGATCTCGTTTTTTGACAGAATTACAAGCCTGGTAGATGAAGGGAACGCAGTGGATGTAGCCTACCTTGATTTCAGCAAGGCATTTGACAAGGTGCCCCATGATATTCTTGTAAAGAAGCTGGTAAAATGCGGTCTTGACTATGCTACCACTCAGTGGATTTGTAACTGGCTGACTGACCGAACCCAAAGGGTGCTCATCAATGGTTCCTCTTCATCCTGGAGAAGAGTGACTAGTGGGGTGCCACAGGGTTCTGTCTTGGGCCCGGTCTTATTCAACATCTTTATCAACGACTTGGATGATGGACTCAAGGGCATCCTGATCAAATTTGCAGATGACACCAAACTGGGAGGGTGGCTAACACCCCAGAGGACAGGATCACACTTCAAAACGACCTTGACAGATTAGAGAACTGGGCCAAAACAAACAAGATGAATTTTAACAGGGAGAAATGTAAAGTATTGCACTTGGGCAAAAAAATGAGAGGCACAAATACAAGATGGGGGACACCTGGCTTGAGAGCAGTACATGTGAAAAGGATCTAGGAGTCTTGGTTGACCACAAACTTGACATGAGCCAACAGTGTGACGCAGCAGCTAAAAAGCCAATGCAATTCTGGGCTGCATCAATAGGAGTATAGCATCTAGATCAAGGGAAGTAATAGTGCCACTGTATTCTGCTCTGGTCAGACCTCACCTGGAGTACTGTGTCCAGTTCTGGGCACCACAGTTCAAGAAGGACACTGACAAACTGGAACGTGTCCAGAGGAGGGCAACCAAAATGGTCAAAGGCCTGGAAACGATGCCTTATGAGGAACAGCTAAGGGAGCTGGGCATGTTTAGCCTGGAGAAGAGGAGGTTAAGGGGTGATATGATAGCCATGTTCAAATATATAAAAGGATGTCACATAGAGGAGGGAGAAAGGTTGTTTTCTGCTGCTCCAGAGAAGCGGACACGGAGCAATGGATCCAAACTACAAGAAAGAAGATTCCACCTAAACATTAGGAAGAACTTCCTGACAGTAAGAGCTGTTCGACAGTAGAATTTGCTGCCAAGGAGTGTGGTGGAGTCTCCTTCTTTGGAGGTCTTTAAGCAGAGGCTTGACAACCATATGTCAGGAGTGCTCTGATGGTGTTTCCTGCTTGGCAGGGGGTTGGACTCGATGGCCCTTGTGGTCTCTTCCAACTCTATGATTCTATGATTCTATGAAATATTACAAGTAATCACACCCACAGAGATTCCAATCAGTCGCCAGTTGAAAATATACTCTGGAAACCAAGCCTTATGAGGAACGGTTGAGGGAGCCGGGTATGTTTAGCCTGGAGAAGAGGAGACTAAGAGGAGACAGGAGAAACATCTTCATATCTGAAGGGCTCCAGAGGGTAGGAACCAGACCCATGGATTCAAGTTACCAGAAAGGAGCTCTGACTAAATATTAGGAAGAACTTTCCAATGGTAAGAGTAGTTTGACTGTGGAAGAGGCTGCCTCTGAAGGTTGTGGACTCTCCTTTATTGAAGGTTTTTAAGCAGAGGTTGGGTGGCCATCTGTCATGGATGCTTTAGTTGAGTTCCTGCATTGCAGGCGTTGGACTAGATGACCCTCAGGGTCTCTTTCAACTCTACAATTCTAAGATTCTATGGATAAGGAACAATACAGAATAAGCAATGTCTCAGAATGGGAGAGAGATCAATCAGGCAGGTCAAAAGCTTGCTAGAACAAAGGAGCCATAATCAGCTCCTGTCAAGAGCATTCCTGCAACACCCCAAGTTTCCAATCACGTTCCAAAGACTGCTAGGGCAGGCAGATTTATGGGCACATTCTTATGCTGTGGTGGTTAGAAGCAGCACTTCCATATGAGACCCCATTCACTTTCCCTATTATTATTATTGGCAGTCATCGGAGATAATACAAATCCCTGGAGAGAACAGCATTTCACCCAACACCAATTAGACAATAAGCTGGTAGGAACAATGACTGGGAAGCATTTTGTCTGCAGCAGCAAAGGGCTCCTTCACACTTCTGTCTGTTTCGTGCCTGGGAAGCATGGTTCTGAGCAGTTTTCCTCTCGTCTCACACTTTCCAGGCACAGCTCCAAGCAATTTTGCCTTTGCCCCACTGCTTACCCCCAGCCTGCTCTTTAACACTAAATCAGAACAAATGGCATTCCACAGAAAACCCGATTGCTGTTAGTTCTGATTCAGCACTAAAGATCAGGTTTCCCCGAGCGAAACTGGCCAGGCAAATGAAGAAGTGGATAAGCTCACCTCACGACAGGTACAAATGTTTCCATAGCCACCTTCACCCAAATACGCACAGAGAGCAAGAGACTCTGGTCTGAATTACACTCACAGAACCTGAGCTCTCTGCTGATAGCCAAAAGCAAACAAAGGGTGCCTGAAAAGCTATATATGACCCACTTATTTAAACCAGTTTGGAACAACTTTCCCCATTTTCCTAATTTTGCCTGATAGAGAGGACTTTTTTTACTTCACTTTGATCATACAGCTTCTACTCTCCAGGCAGCAGAGGCTCCTTGTTGGCAATTTTCTGTATTAACTCAGCTACTTCCCTCACTTCCTTCAGGGACCGGATTCGCTCCTGATATCCAGGCTTCAGCTCCTGTTCTTCGGACATGATGAGCAGATCAATGTACTCTGGGGTAGAGAGTGGGTTGGGCTTCAGTGCAATCGCCTGAAGGCGCTGGAGGTTTTGAGGTGATTTCTGGATAAGCTCTTCTAAGATGTGTTTCACTTCTTCATATTCCTCATTAAGATTTTTAAGCAATTTCTCTGTGGTCTTCACCTCACCAGAGGCACGTTCATACTTTTGCTTCATTTCTTCATAGGTCCTGCTCTCTTTTTTTGTTGTGTATTCAAATTTGTATTTCTGAATGATGTGTGCACTCCGCACACACTGGCCTGGACAGTGTGTGCATCTTTCTGTGTTCTGAAGTAAAAAAAAAAAAAAATTTCCACTAGGATAGTAGCGACAGGTGAAATGACAATTCATGCAATTAGTTGCGTATCCTCCCGTGCCAGATATATCTGTCTTCACTGGTACAGTTACCTCTACCTCATACGTAAAGTTTCTGTTTGCCGCCACGTCAACCTTATGCTTGTCCAGGGCTTCCTGCGTCTTCCTCAGTTCTTCCAGCTTGGCCAGTCCAGCTTTGATTTGGGGCTGCAACCCTTCAATAGCAGCTTCAAGCTCTTTTCGCTCCCTGAGCACTTCCTTTGTCAATGTTAAGCTCTTGCTTTCTAGCGTGTGGGATGAATCAAAGAAGGTCTTCATGCTCATGGTGCCCATTTTCCAAAACATTTCATCAAAATTGAAGTTGCCTCCCGGCTCCACAGGATTGTTGGCAAACAGTGCTGAATTGTTGAATTTGAAGTGCACAGGGGTGCCCTTGGCATCCTTAGCGCATGGTACATTGGCTTCCTTAATGGCCTCGAGAACAGGAGGGGTCTGTCCATCTGCAAATGTGATCAGGACTTGGATGTTGTCCTTTATATCTTTGCCAAAGATGGAGAGCACAGAGTCAAAGACGTATCTCTGGGCATGAGCTGAACGAGCTAAAGAAGCCTGGACGACAATACAGATGGCATCTATATGATCAATGCCCCCTGGGGAGGAGAAAAACTCCCGGATCTGCTTTGTTATCAACTTGTCATGCTCTATTCCTCTTGTGTCTCCAAATCCTGGAGTGTCAATAATGGTGAGGGAATAGGGGACTTGGAAACCCTTGCAGTAGTGGACAACGTAGGCAGTCACTTCTGATGTTTGGCTTTGAGCTTGGCTTCTGTTGGTATTTTCAGGAATAAGTTTGAATCGGAAATCATCTCCCCATTGCACGCCCAGGATGTAGTTGATCATCCCATTGATGAGAGTGGTTTTCCCTGACCCTGTTGCCCCCATCACCATAATCACTTTGTTGGGGACCTGAATGTTCTCTTTCCCTAGCTGGTATGTTAGACAGGATCCAGAGGCATCCTGTATGGGCTCCAGTGGCAGAGCATACACTGCTGGTGGCCCATCCTCCACGCGGGTGCTGTCTTGGAGGTATTTACAAGCTATTCTCTTCTCGTCTCCTTCCAGTGATGTGGAAACCTCAATCTCTTTGCTGGGCTCACTCTCAGCCCCACCGGCACACATGACTGAGACTCTGAATCTGTAGGGTGTCTGGGGCTTCAGACCATCAATCTCACAGAACTCTGTTTTCTTCCCTGTTCTTTTTTCAGCCCATTCATCTTTGTCTTTGCTTTTTGCCTCTCCAGCCTCTTCACTGTAGTCCACTTTGTATTCCTTTATAACAGCTCCCTGTCCAATGACCTTTGGGCTCTCCCAGGCTACAGTGATTGTGGAAGACTCTGCGATTATCACTCTCAGTTTCCCAGGAGGGCTGGTAGGACGTGTCTGTACAGATTTACTCACATTGCTGGTCTCACTAAGTCCTGGTTTGCTCCTAGTGCTGTATCGGAATTGGTATTCTGTGTTTGCGCTCAACCCTCTCACTTGGAATGTCTCCTGACTGTCGTCAGTATTCACAATCTTCCAATTTTCTTTTCCTGCAATCTTGTACTCTACTTGATAGCTAGAGATTGCAGCCCTCCCATACTCCGCAGGTTTAAATGTCAGCTGCACACTCTCATGTCCAATTCGGCCAACCAGGGCAGGGAGAGGTTTTGAGGGCAGCTCAAAGTTGCTGCTGAGCATCTCCCCATCTTCATAGAGGTAAATGGAAGCACCTGGGTTGTCCTGATCTGGGACAGAAGCCACAAGGAACCGGGTATTCTCATTTGATTTATTGACCCGGGCAAAATCTGTAATGGATTTGGCAGCTTTACGAGCCTTCCGAATTCTCTCTTGGTGCTCAAACCAGGCTTTATTGTTCTTGGGTGTTGACTGGCCACTGGTGGAATTTGCTGTTTCCTGAAAAAAATCTTTCTGAAGCCAGTCTTGTAAGGTGGCTAAAAATGGTTCCTCATCATGTAAAGAAGTGAAGGTAAATGAGACAACAAACTCATTCGCAGGGTTTAGCACGATTTCTTCCAGTTTGTTCTGGGAGGAGATTACTTCCATTCCACTTAGGATACTAAGGTAAGAATTCACGAAATTAATCTCTCGTTCCTTGGCATCCAAAAACTCACTGAGTCTTTGGCTGTTGAAGGGAGACTGGTTAATGGACATTAAAATGTCCACCAGAACTCTTTCCTCTTTCCCCCCTCCCCGGATCAAAGGCAGGATTCCTGCCAGGTGTTTCTGGAAAGTCTGCCTGTGCTGCTTGCAGAGATTCTTGAATCTATTGATTTTCTTCTTTAATTCTGGGAACTTTTCAGCAGCAGGAGTCATAGCCAGATCATTGCATCGCATGTTGATTTCATTCAGATTCTCCAAGACAGTTTGAGCATCAAAGATCAGTGTTAAGCTGATCTCACGCACCATCTTAGCTGCTCTGGAATCTAGCTTGGTCAGTGGGTACAGCCAAACTCTGACAGGCACAGCCTTCTCGCCATCCTCCCCGAGCTTTTGGGGCAGATCGCTGTAGACTTTCATGGCATCTGGAAAAGTCACCGGATTACTTTCCAAAGAAAAATCCCCATAGAACTTGCAGCTGAAATTCTCCGTTTGGGCTTTCTCCTTCTCCTCCATCTCAACAGATGCTTCCCCTTTGATAGAGATTTTAATCAAGTTGATCGCAGCGTGGAGGCTTCCTTGTATGTCTTGCACAGACTCAGAAGAAGAGACATTTCGGTCAAACACAAAGAAAGCCTGGGCTCCATACAAGATGGCAGTGACAACATGGGTGGCTGTGCCATGCTCAAAAACAGCTGGATAAGTGACATTTCGGATCCCCAAATGGCTCATGGTCAGCTGTGAATACTTGGTGGTAGCTTTGTATTGCAGAGTGACTCTGGCCTGTTTCGTGGACTTCTTGGTGTCTTGAAGGAACTTGGCTGATCCACCCACTTCAACCAATCCCCCCAAAAAACTGGCCTTGATTGATGCTGAGACATTGAGGGCAGAGGCCTTATCATCGATGGAGTCAGATGCAATGATTTCATACTCAGCCTTGGGTTGCGGTTTGATACACAAGTCCTTCTGAAGCGAGTCGTGGTCCCAAAGGGTGATTCCTGGGATAAAGCAGAGAAATATGCAAGGCTTGAGTATGCTCATACAAATGTAGAACACAATTAGCCTAATGCTAAGGGTGTACAGAGAAACAAGGAGATAAAATAGACCTATCATTGCCCACAATGTCTGCACTCATGAATTTTGTCCCACTGTCATCCGCAACGAAAGAGGTTTGTGCAGTTTTGTCAGGGAACTGCCATCAGCTCAGAGGTGGAAGAGCAGCTGTGTTACAGGGAGCCTCCAAAGATTGTGCATAGCAGCTCTTCCTATGGCTTGGAGGGAAGCCACGCCTCCAGTGGGGAAGGGATGCAGGGCTCGGAGGATGCTAGAGAGAGCTGCAACACCGAGCCTGAGCAAAGCGAGGGGGAGGAAGGTCCCCCTTTGCCCACACCCTCTCTGCGCAGTTGATTTAAGCGCAGAGAGGGGAGGCGTAGGATGGGTGTCAAAAGTTTAAGGACCGCCCACTCCCAGATTCTGCTAGCGACTGAGCAGACATGCAATTGAGACGCTCTGCACAGTGAATGTTTTGGATAATAAAGCTTTGAAAAGACCAGTGGGAGTCTTGCCTGTTCGCTCTTGAGCAACCACACCGGCACACATAACAGTTACAGTGGTGAAAGTTGTTAATTTATTGGTACAGGAACACCACAATGGATTACAGTCCCTCCAGGTGTCCCTATTTTCCAGCGACAGTCTTGGATTTACAGGAGCCATCCCGGTTTCTGATTTGATCCCTGAATGTTCCGCTTTCCCTTAGGCTTAGGACATCCTTATTTTCATCAGAGAAATGTTGGAGGGTGTGGAGTTATGTGACCCCTGAGCCAAGGAGAAAAGTAACTAGACAACCTATAGAAGACATCTGAAGGCAGCCCTGTTTAGGGAAGTTTTTTATGTTTAATGTGGTATTTTTCAAGAAAAAAAGATGCCAGAACTCTCCATGAATGCTTCCCTTCTTCTCTTATAATGCAATGGTGCCCACCTGAGAGGTGCCGGAACTGAGTTCTGGGAGGTTCTGGCTGAAAAAAAGTCCTGGTTTTTTACCTACAGTAATAATTGTGGAAAGATGTATTCTTAATGGTCTGCATAGGCCTGGTGGAGTAGAAAGGTTTTCAGCAAGCTTTAAAAAATTGAAACAGAACACACCTGCTGAATCTTTATTGGCAGATGATGATGATGATGATGTTATGGGCCAAGACGATACCAGCAAGGTTAAGGAGCAAAGAAGCTATAGGAGGCAAAGGGCCTTCTTTTTAATAAATGGAAATCTTGTCCAAATGAAGAGAACATAAAGGAACACAAACTTTGGCAAAAGATGTGGAAGCAGACAGTAAGGGATGTTGAAAATGAATTAGAGGAGCACATTTAGCACTGAAACTGCACTGTTTGGGCCGACTGCTAATCTTGATATGAGTAATGTTTCCCTTTTCAGCATAAGCTCTTCCTTGCACCAGCTCTACCTGGGATGAGGGCATCTTTACGACAGTCGTACAGCATCCCCAGCTGGAATGGGCGGCCCAGGGCTGGTATTTCAACCGTGTCGTCTGATCTGTCCATGGCTCTGGTCCAGGTTGCTCTCCTGCCTTCACCTCCCTGCAAGAAACAAGAGGTGTGAAGGACTCTGGAAAGATTATTCGGCATGCAAAGTGTGTGGGGAAAAGAGGAAGATTAGCACTACCATCCAAAGAGGGAGGCCAACATGCCTTCAAGACCCCCCCAAAAGGGAGGGGGGAATGTCACATCATTGGGGGGGGGGGTTAGAAGTTTGTATGCAATAGTTGCACATGTTCAAGAAAGCTTGTGCAACTGATCATTTTCTTGCTTCCCTCCCATCCACAGCCCCCTGTAGCAGCTGAAAACTCTATCCTCTGATCCCTGCACCCTGAACAAAGCGGACTGTGTCACACAGAATTGAGGTGGGAGGGGAAATCACCCTGAAACTGGGCAAAGGGATCATGTGCCAATGGGGGTTCTGCTTGGACAGGATTCCTAGGCCCAAAGTCAGGTGAATCCCACTGCAGCCCTGTATGGCAGACACGACACTATCCAGGCCCTCTGGAAAGGGTTTGGGGGGGCACAAGGGGTCACAGGAGCTGGAAGGGAAGATCAATATTTTCCATGCACAACCACTGGGTGCTTCCTACACTGAATTTCCGTTTGGCAGAGAATTGTGCCTGCTGAGAACATTTCGGATAGTAGAGAAATATTTTACCATTACCACTACCACCACCAGTTTTATATCTCAGCTATCTGGCGCAGTATTCAAGGAGGCTATCAAAGTGGGGAACTCACACATGCAGCCAGCCAAATCACATAACGACAACAATAATTATGGCAGGAATCACGAATGATGCTGCCATAGCTAACAGCGAGATACACAAAGTAGTATTTGGCAGAAACAAACTGCATTGAAAACAGCACTGATCATGATGAATACAAGCTGAAATGGAAGTTGCTGCTCTCTTATATTACTACTTGTGCTGCACCAAGAAGTTCATGGCACAATGGGAGTCAAATAACTTGTAGAAAATCTTTTGTAGAGGAGCACAGAATTGTAGAGTTGGAAGGCACACCCAAAGGTCATCTAGTCCAACCCCCTGCAACCCACAGGTGAGGAATCCCTGACGGAATCTCAACTAAAGCATCCAGGTCAGATGGCCATCCAACCTCTGCTTGAAAACCTCCAAGGAAGGAGAGACCACCACCTAACAACAAGGAAGTGTGTCCCACAGTCGAACAGCTCCTTCCGTCAGCAGGTTCTTCCTAATGCTCAGCTGGAAAGTCATTTCTTGACATTTGAATCCATTGGTTCAGGTCCTGCTCCCTGGACCAGCAGCAAAGAGCCTGTTCCATCTTCCCTGTGTCAGCCCTTCAGGTATTTCAAGATGGCTCTCATATCATGTCTCAGTCTTCTCTTCTCCAGGCTAACCACACCCAACTCCCCCAACCACTCCCCCCAAAAGCTTGGTTTCCTGACCCTTCATCATCTTGGTCTCCTGCCCCAGCACACGTTCCAGCTTGTCAGTATCTTTCCTAAACTGTGGTGCCCTGAACCTTACAAAGTACTCCAGGTGTCTTGGAAGGGACCCCCCTAGAGTAATCTAGTCCAACCCCCTGCAATGCAGGAATCTCAGCTAAAGCATCCATTTACATTTAACCATTTCCAGTGTCTTTCTTTATTAAGACTTTGACTACGTTTCCTGTTCATTAAATGTCTCCCAATACCCTTTTCCATCTGTCTGCAAAACAATTCAAGATTAATCCCAGTTGCCCTGTCTAGCCGATTCTCTTTTCAGGCATACGGTGACCACCATAGACCCCATAACAATTTATTCTTTTCTTTTCAGTGTTCTGGAACGGACATTCATTACATGCAGTCCCTAAAAGCAGCTAGTTCTGTACTGTAAAAGGCTGGTAGAGACCTTTTCAGTTTAGCTGGGCTATAAACCCAAAAGTAAATGGAATAATCAAAATGATAGTTTTATGAAATTATATTCTCCAACACACACACACACACCTGACCAGAAAACCCTAACCAGCTGTGGTGTGGGATGTATTTACACTGGTGAAAGGAAATCTCTCCCTTTCTGGGAAAGGCTCTGGCTGGGGAGAAACCTTCCTTACAACTGGCCTTGACCAGCTGTGAACTTGAGATCCCTGTGCCTTCGCCTCTTTTGCTTTCACTGCACTTGGAAGAGCCCAGTCTGAACTCCCTTCACTCTGCACACCAGATCCAGCCCCTCTTGGAAAAATCAATCAGTCTAGAATGCAGCAGCCAGATTACTGGCCAGGCTATTAATGGGTTGGCAGAAACAGTTGCAGATTTGGTAGGAGTGTGTGGCTGGAATAATCTTGAAGCTGTCAAAAGGGAGAAGAGCAGGGCCAAGCTTACAAGACAAGGCTGCTCATGTTTGCTCCCAATTCTTTCCCTTTTCGTAGAAATTTAGATATCCAAGGAGGGCTTCCTTCAGAGTAGTATCCTTACCCCACATTCAAAGAGACCAGGACCACACCTGATGGGGCATTAGGTGCCTCCAGCACCCAGCTGTTCATCCCACCACAGACATGTTTGTGATATTCTACCAGGGAAGGTCATCCCAACCACCTTCCAGCTTGTCAACATCCTTCTTAAATTGTGGTGCCCAGAACTGGACACAGTATTCCAGGTGAGGTCTGACCAAGGCAGAATAGGGTGGAACTATTACTTCCTTTCATCTGGACACTAGACTTCTGTTGATGCAGCCTAGGATTGAATTAGGTTGGGGTTTTTTTTTACTGCTGCATCTCACTGTTGACTCATTTTTAGCTTGTGGTCTACTAAGACCCCTGGATCCTTTCGACATATACTGCCAGCAAGCCAGGTGTCCCCATCTTATATTTGTGCATCTGTTTATTACTTCTAAGTGCAGAAACTGACATTTTATCCCCATTGAAATTAGTGTTGTTAGTCTTGCCCCAGTTCTTTAGTCTGTTACAGTCATATTGAATATGGATTCTTTCTTCTTCAGTATTAAGTACCCTTCCCAGTTCAGAGTCATCTGCATATTGGATGAGCATCCCTTTCTGTCCAAGTCAACAAACACAAACCCTGGTTAAGTGCCAAGACTTTGCCTGTGCTCACAAAATCTGCTAAGGAGATTTCAGGCTTGCTGCCTTTAGCTGCAATCACTATAAACCTTGTTTACATGTTCAATGTATGCCCTGCTGTCTTGTATTTATTCTATATTAACCTTGCTTATGATCAACATTTTTGTATTCACTCATAGGAAGTTTGATTCCTGCTAGATTAGAAAAATAAGCATTAATGCCTACTCTCATCACCTCAGTTAAACTGACTTCAAGGCAGTACACATTTCAGCAGCACAAGAGATCTGCCAGGGAAATGGGTTCTGCAATTTGCCACCTGCTCTCAGCCTCTCTTCCTGGGCAGCAGACCTTTCATTCCATCACTTTGCAAGGAGGGAAGATTCCTCCTATACAGAGTGGGGGAAAAGCCAAAGGTGTGAGATAGCAGAAGTGGAGTTGGAGCTGAGTTCCACGTATGCTCTGATTGTGCTTGCAGAAACTGGGCAGGATGCCAACCCTTTGAAGATCCCTCAGTTTCTCTTGACACCCCCAGCTTTCCCCCAAGATGAGGCCAAAGGAAAGGTAGGGCAGAGAGGGAGAGAAAGAGATCTGATGCAGGTCTCCCCCAAATTGCAAGGATTAAGAGCAATCTCACACATGTGGCAGTCTTAAAATAGGAGAAAGGGGCAGAGAGTACAGAAGAATAAGCAATGGGGGATGCCATCAGTGACTGAAATACTTTCTCATTAATTGATGGAGGCTGGTAAAACAAACCAAGGGAACACACAGAAATGTCCAGGATGCAATAGCCCAGATGGTCCACAGCCGCCTGCCCCCTCCCTCCTGCAAGGAAGCAACTGGCAGCAGCAGAGGTGCTCAGCATCTTAGGAGTCAGGGCAGGGGTCCCCCTAGTCCCACCCCAAAGCCCAGGAGAGCCTTGCGCTGCAGCCTTCATTCCTTTAGCTCCAAGTCTGGGCCAAATCAGGATGGATTCGTGGCCTTTCCAAAGAGCCAGAGAGCAGGAGGCGAGGGCATCATCAGCGCAAGATCCCGTCACAAAGTCCCCTCTGCAGTATGCCACCTGGAACGGTTTGCAGCAGCCATGCAAAAGAAGCCTTTGACAACAAAAGAAGCCGCGACAACGTCTAATGTGCAAACGCGTCTTACCAGAAACGTGGAAAACGGATGAATCTTGCCTCCAAGTGGCTCTCTTGCTTGAGTTTGTCTCGACTTGCGTTGGTCCCCTCTTAAAGCACAAGTCTGTTTCGGTCACAGAGGCCACTTCTCCTCTTATCTATTTGGGAGTCACAAGGTGCAAGGGGACAAGGATCACTTTCAGGGGGAGAAGGAAGTTGTGAGATCGTCAGCATTTCACTCCAAAAAGGCTCTTCAGTGGTGCATCGCAGAGTTGGAAGGGACTTCAAGGGCCATCTAGTCCAACCCCCTCCTGTGGCCTCCCCACAAGTCGGATCCATGCAGAATCAAGGTCCTTAGTTGCACAACCCTCCCTTTCCTGGTATCCGGACCCAAAACGGATCTATGGAAGCTAGTTGGCTTCATACAGCAGGGATCAACATTATGGGGGATCTGTTCTTCCCCCTGGGCTTTTGGGAAAGAGGTTGTCAGCAGGGCCTCCATCTTGGCCTCAGATATGTGGGCTCTTGGCAGTAGAGGAAGGTTTCCCTCAACATCAAGCCACAATCAGCCTCAATTTGTAGCCTTATGAGGCTTTGCCCTCGGGTGGGAAAAATATTGCGCCCGGGAAAGGGAAAATGGGAGTCAACAGACACTCAAGGAATAGTTTCGGAGAAAAGGCTTTTATTTCTACCATCCATGAACTGGTAGAAGGAGCAAGTGTGATAAGTCACAAAAAGCATGCACGAGTTCACAATCATGTGCACAAGCATATATACCCCTTTCCAGTTCCCTCCCCCTTTCTCCTCCCTCAGGAGTCCTCTGAGCATGAACAGAAAGCTGTCTTGGGACTATTGTGGACTCTTGGCACCCTTCCCAGGAAAGGGGGGGGGTGAGAAGCCAAGGGGTTTTCAGCATGTTCAGATATGTTTCAATCTCTTGTTCTGGCATGGTTCCCGGACAGAAAGTAAGTTGCAGTGCGGTTCTTTAGCAAGGCCAGAAGACATGAGAAAGGCCTGAGAAACAATGGACTGTTCTCTACCTTTGTTACAGCAGAGCGGAATGTTTCTGATGCTTAGCTGCTGAGAAAATGATTTTGAAAAGTTTTGAGAAGCTTTGAGCCTGCTTTGGTGGGGGGTGACTTCGGGCCTAGACTTCGCGTCACCTGTCCTCACCTTCCTTCAAATTTATATGAGATTAGGAGAAAAGAGGCTTTCTGGAGCAAAAGCAGGTGACCCCTGCAGGAGAGCCCTGAGATGTTTGGGTGAAGGGCAATATACAAACAACCGCAATAAATATTATCTTCCATTTTTATGCACTGTGGCAGCAGCAGGGCCATGCTCTGGGGGAACCCGCCAAACCCCTCACAGATGAAGGAGGAAATTCTGTGTATTCAGAGGGTGGAAGAGCTGACAGGAGTTTGCCCTTCCTTAGAAATGCCTCCCGGTATAAATGTGATGGGGCCGTCCCTTCAGGCAGGCGTGGGGAACCTTTGCCCCTCCTGAGGCTGCTGAACTACAACTCCCACCACCAGGCGCTTTGGCCAGGCTAGCTGGGGCCGGTGGGAGTTGCAGTTTGGCAACATCTTTTGCGCCCAAAATCCCCCCCGCCTGCCCAGGGAAAGGAACCTTTTGAACTCCTCATGATGAACTCCCCTCACAAATCTTATTTATTTGACTGGCCAGAGGCTCTTCCGATGCTGGAGGGAAACATTTTGAACCTGCTGTTCTGGTGGCCTCAAGAAAAAGAGCGGGAAAATCCTAGCTGTTTCTGAGGAGAAAGTGTCTAAAATTCTCCTCAGAACCAGTCCTCAGACTGCTTAGGGCAATACACTCCTTTTGCTTCTGGAGGGGGAGAGAAACTTGCACAGTCAGCTTCTAGGTTAACAATATTTGTTCTGTGATTTCTGTCCATCCTGCAGCCTTTGCACAAAACTCAAGAGCACCACTCCTTAATTCCTGGGACTTTGAGCCTGGAAAAGCGATGAGGAAGGAGATACGCTGCCTTTCACTTTTCATAATATCCCTTCTGAGCATTCGGTGCAATCTCTCAAATTGCTGACTAGCACCCTTTTTATGAAGCTGAAAAGCTCCGGGTGAAGGGACTTAATATCACTGTCATCAAGGGACAGGAGGAGGAAACCTCGGCCTATTTGGGGCACGTATTCCTGCCCCCCTCAGCGCCCTCTTGGCTCCGGTCGCCATTTCACGCATCAGAACTGTGGGGCTGAATTGATGCTGCACCAAAATGGCTGCCCTGTGTGATAGGAATTTTATGGTCTTAGATATATGGTATTGTTCATAACCGCACATACAGTGGTGCCTCGCAAGACGAAATTAATCCGTTCCGCGAGAGTCTTCGTCTAGCGGTTTTTTCGTCTTGCGAAGCAAGCCCATTGACGGATTAGCGCTATTAGCGCTATTAGCGGTTTAGCGGCTATTAAAGGCTTAAAGGCTTAGGGATTAGCTGCTAAAAGGCTATTAAAGGCTATTAAAGGCTTAGCAGATTAGATAAAGGGGGAAAGCGGAAAAAAATCTCAAGACTCGCAAGGTATTTTCGTCTTGCGAAGCAAGCCCATAGGGGAATTCGTCCTGCGAAGCAACTTCAAAACGGAAAACCCTTTCGTCTAGCGGTTTTTCCGTCTTGCGAGGCATTCGTCTTGCGGGGCACCACTGTACATAGATCACCACAGGAAGACCAACCTGGAACCATTTTTTATTCCTAAACTGACCAAATGTTTGGACCTCTGCAAGGTCAAACTGGAAAAGTCTCCCCATTGTCTCTTTCCTCACAAATCCTGTCTTAAGGACACATTTAAGATATGAATAGGGTGTGAGCCTGTGACCTGGCCCAGGAAATAAGTATTTTACCACTACAAAAGAATGGCCAGGCTCCCCAGGCAAATCCAATCAAGTAACTTGCCAGACAGGAGATAAACTGCGACAGGAGAAAAACAACATGCAAATGTTCTGTTTTAGACCGCCTTTTCTGGGATGTATCTGAGGGGTGGTCTTAGGTTACACCCCTTCTGTGATGTATGTATAATGTTTCTGGGGGTGGTCTTGATCTACAGGATGGGAATTTCAAAAGTCTTTATAAGCCCTTGCACAGCATTTTTGTGGGTCCTCCTCCTCTCCTGCGTGTGAGGGGAGCACCCTGTTGCAACAGATCAATAAAGATCCCGCTTACTAGCTGCTTTGCTTCTCAATATTCTCTGGTTGGCCTCTGTTATCTTCTCCTACCAATAGGGAACCTATGTAAGGACTCTATATGGGCTCTTGGATACCCCACAAGGGAAAAGGGCATATTTTTATTTACAACACCTGTTAGGCAAGGCTTTTCCAGAGGGGCTTCCACAGAGGAGTCGGGAACCCCCAAGCCCACTCCCCAAAGTGGCCCTTCCTGGCAAGTGGAGGGAGGCTGTTTCCCCCACCATGCCGGCCTCACAAAATGGAGCCTGGGGGCGCATTGCCTGTCGTGTGGCCCCAGGCTGAGGGGAGAGAAGAGGAGGCTGAGGGGATGCTCCCGCCTGGCCATGGCCTTACGAAGAACAGTGGCAGGATTTGGCCTGCAGAGCAGTGCCATAAGAATGGTGGGGAGGGCAGAGGGGACCCTCCTGGGGGGGGATGCCCCCCACCGCTCACTCCACCCTGAACTCTGCTGACTTGGCCTTGGGCACGATGCCCATCACAAGGTGGATATTGCGGTTCTAACGGGGGTCGCCCCCCATTTCCTGCCTGCACCCCTCTCCCATTGTACAGGCTCCCGAGACGGAGTCGGCAAGGGAGACTATGGGGCAACCAAGCCCCGTATCTCCCCCTTAAATAGGTTTGTGAGCTGTGGTGGATCCTCAGATCCGCCCTTGGCTTTCCTCTGACTCCAGGATGATCTGGCATTATTAGATAGATAATATATATTTAAAAATCTGTTGGAGGTCTGGCTGTGTCAGAGCATTGTGTGGGGCTCTTCTCTCCCATTCGTGACTAACTCTGCCTTCCCTCAGGGGACATGGGGGGGGCATTACTGTGCCCCTCAATATAGGAGGAGAAAGAACGCTAAAAAGTATCCAAATTCATTCCCTCAATTCAGAAATAATAACCGAGGGGCCTAGCAGGTCCGGTTTCAGCCTTTCCTTTCCTGAAGCAAATTCTCTTTCCATTGGAGAAATGTTGGAGGAGAGGCCAAGAGTCCCCAGTGAGCTGTGGCAACGTGCTCAAGGAAGTCATTTTGAGAGTTAAAATGTTAAGCAAGGAAGCCATTTTGTTGTTCTAGGCCAGGCCCCATATCCAGTACATACACTCAGACACCCATTGCCCAGAGACACACAGTGATAGGCTGATAAGGATTACCAGATAAGGACATGGAAGGGTTATGTCCAACTCCTCATGCCTTATCTCTAGGCGGAATCTATTCTATCTATCTCAGTATGTGTAATGCTGTGTAATTTGACTGGCCTAACCAATTGCTACAGAGCGATGTATTTTCTTCGAGGCCTGATGCCTCGTGAAGTGATAAGAGAAGGCCTTGCAGGGGATTCTGTTAGGAATTGATTTAAAACCAGGTCCCCCAGTCTGGCCTCCCAGTGGCTTCTTGTGGTAAAAAAAAATATAGCTGAATGAAATTTGGGGCCTGTATAAGGGAGTCCTTGGAGCACCCACAATTGCCTGACCATGGCTCCTGTTATGTATTGAAGTTCTCACCCTGGCCACCAGAGGTATTGTGTATATAGTTTTCACTCAAGTCCACTTAAGTTAATTTACGCGGGAAACCTTGAGCTGCTGTTGTTACGGTGTTGATAGCCAGCTGCCTATAAAAGCAGGCCGGCTGAGCTGTTTGCTGATCAGTTCAGTTCCAGCTTACTTATAAAGAACAACTTGGAGAAATCTCTGTGTCCTTTGCTATGTCCACCCACTACTTAATACGGTGACGAGGATGGGATAGGATGGACATCAGAGCACAGCCAGATTCGGACACTCACTGAGTGGAATCAGTGAGCTGAAACACTGAGCGAAATCACTGAACAGAACCCAACTGGCGGAAATGACTGGTAGAATCCGTGACCAGGGAGAAGAGTCGGTGGAAGAAGATTGGAAGAAATTTAAAGATTATCTATAGAAACATTGCAAAATTAAAGAATGTTAGAGTGATGATGGATTGAAATAAGTGGTTTCTAGCTGCACAAGCGTTAAACTTATATATAGACTAAGATTAAGGATTAGGCATAAAAAGGTTAAAAGAACGGAAAACTGGCTATTAATAGATAAGAATTTAATGTTATACCATATTAAGATTAAGGATTGGGATTAAAAAAGAGGGAAAGAAATTGCTGGACAAACAAATTGAACTGGAATACAAAAGAGGGAGGTATGAGGAGGTCCAGAAAATAAGTAAATTCAAAAGTGGTGATGAAAAGATGGTATTGTTTTTAACTGTTTTTTCTTTTGTTTTTTGTTTCTTTTGTATTTTGTATTGTGTATTTTTGTATTGTGTATTTTTCTTTTTACTTTTAAATTCTTTTTTACTGATGTGTCTTTTTTTATCGGAAACTTTAATAAATATCATTTAAAAAAAAGAAAAGAAAAGAAATCACTGAACAGAACCCAATTCAGAGCTGACCATACTGGTTAGAGCACTGTGTTCCATCCATCACCCACCACATCAGCATCAGAATCATGGCTTCACTCGTGCTTATACTGCCATTTGCCCCAGCCTCTGAATCATTGGACTCCTACCTCGCTCGGTTTGACTGCTACCTCCAAGCCAACGAGCTGATGGAAGGGTCAGAGGAGCGTAAGCGGGGCCTATTCCTCAGCCTCTGCGGGCCCGAGGTGTTCGAGACAGCCCAAGTTTTGGTTGTGCCACTAGCAGTCCAGGCAGCGCGTGGGACGTGCTAAACGAAAAGCTAAAAAACCACTACGCTCCGAAGCCGTCCAAAATTGCTGTCCGCCATGCGTTCTACCACCAGGATCAGGCAGAGGGGGAGTTGATCAACAGCTACATCGCCACCCTCCGAAAGGCTGCAGTGCACTGTGAGTTCTGAGACTTAGATGATGCCCTGATGGATCGACTTGTCTGCGGGGTTCGGAACAACCGTATGCAATGGTGTATCCTCACCAAGCCAGACCTCACACTGCAGAAGACCATCAAGGAGGCTGTGGGGGGATGAATGCCTGGGCCTAGGAAGGAGCTGCCTGGTGCCCCATTAGAAGGAGGAGTGTTCCTGGTTTCCCTAAATGTGGCAGTTGTGAGGCTATTCTGAACAAAGTCCTTGGACACAAGAGATGCTTCCAGATGTCCTCCAGTCACACATTTTCTTCAGCAGTGTCAGCGCATGAGGTGGGGTGGGAGCAGAAGTGGTGTCCTCCAGGCAAAGTGGGGAGCAAGGCGGTGGCTTGCCAGTGCCACTTAACCCTGCCCTAACCTGAGCATGGTGCCCACCCCCAGAATGGCACAGTTGATGCTCCCTACCCTGGCACCCCTGCCATGCCAGTGTACAGTTTGGGGGTAAGAGTTTTGAGTGAGTTGTGGCTGTTTCATTCTCAACATATTTAGAGCGCACTGGACTATATAGATTCATTTCTGAGCCAGACTTGGTGTGGGCAGATATGGTCACTCTGCTGGTTGGCTAAGGCTTGGAGGAGGAATATGATGGTCTTTGTTCTCCTGGACCTTTCAGTAGCTTCTGAACAGGCTGCCTGGGGTGGGACTCCAGGGGCAGTGTGTTTGAATGCTTCCACTATATAAATATGAACTCAAATATTGCAAAATGCCATAGCATTCCACCAAAGAAACCTAAGCTCTGTGTGTAGGCAGTAGTGCACCCCTGGAACTTCACACTGCTCAGATAAGTGGAGTCAATGTAAGATGGCGGGGTCATGAAAAATGTATGGCAGCCCTAAGCAATTGGCACCCTAATCCATGGGGTCACGGGGCCACCCAAAACCCGACGTCATTCGATTCACTCCAAAGCAGTACAAGACGTTGACAAAAGGTCTGCGATAGCTTTTCACAGCAAAAACCCCATGCTTTGCAACGCCCTAAAAGTGGAGCAATCAGCACCATAAGTCGGGTGTGTGTGTGTCACGAGGTTGCTGAAAACCCGACATCATCCAATTCACTCTGAAGTGGAGCTAAACACCAACGAAAGGTCTGCAGCAGTGTTTCGTGGCGAACACCCCGTGTTTTGAGGTGCCCCACAAACAGAGCACTCGGCCTGTGGCAGAGTGGGCATTGCTCTTTTTGTGGGGTGTTGCAAACTATGGGGGTTTCGCTGCAAAACGTTTGCTAAAGTTTGGCACCAGTTTGGAGTGAATCAGAGAACATTGGTTTTTTGTGACCTTTTGACCCGCCCCCCCTTTGAGGGACTATTGCTCTGTTGGTGGGGTGCTACAAAATGCAGGGTTTTTGCTGCAAGACACTGCAAAATGTTTGTCAAAGTTTGGCACCAGTTTAGAGTGAATTAATGTTTTTTTGGTGAGCTTTTGACTCCCAGCTTAGAGTGTGTATCACTCTCTTTGTGGGGTGTTGCAAACCACAGGATTTTCACTGCCAAACATTTGCCAAAGTTTGACACTTGTTTGGAGTGAATTGGACAATGTTGCGTTTTGGGGCATTAACTACAATCCCGGGTTTCTTGTATCAATTACTCCGTTTGTGGGGCACTGCAAAATGCTGCAAAACAACCGCAAAACTTTGGCACTGGTTTAGAGGGGATCCCAGATTTTGGAGTTCGTAGTTAATGTAGCTGAGCCATTGCCATGATTGAACAATTTAAAGGCACATTCACAACATAAGAACTGGATTATTGCCTGTTTATGTGTGTTCTGTATATGTGTGTGTGTATCCTGAGGACAACATTCACGTTTACATCACATTAATACACAAAAAGGACATTGTGGCATACAATGAGCTATGAAAATGAAGTCCTGTTTATACTGAAAATGAAATACCTGCACCAAATGAAGGAAATGGTGAAGCTGACATACAAAGCACTTTGTATTGTTACAAAAGTTTGGTGCCACCCCCACTCTCTGCAAGATTCCAGGGCTTCCTAGCACTCACTCTGGGTCTGTGTTCCTTTGGAGAATTGAGACACGGCAGAGACTGTCGTAGCTTTAAAAAATATGCTTTATTCCCCTATTTACACCTTCAGTTTGCATGGAGGGAGTCCAGATCTTACATCACGGTCATTTCAAGAGGGGCTTGTCCCTCAGAGCAGTGCAGCCCTGGAGTCCAAGGCATCTCTCCCAGCCAGCCTGCAGCCAGCCTGCCCAAGATGGAGCCCAGTCTTTTTTCTCCCCCTTCTTCTTCCCAGCACCCCTTGGTAAAAACACTCTCTTCGTGTCACTTTGAACCCACACCCCATCACCATGGCAACTTCTGTCTGTCCAGGACCAGGCTCTCAAATGGGCCATCTACCCCCTTTGCCTATACTTTTCCACTGACCTCCAATCTTCCCTTCAATACTCTAGATAATCAAAATCCTACTGTTTATAAATTAATAGGGTTGGGGGGGGTGTCCCCCAATCTATAACAGTATTTATCCCTTCCTATAATTTTGAAGGTAACCAATCCACCTTAAATTCTTTCATAGAAATGGTTCAGCAGCCAGCAATTATTTTTTTGTAGGAAACTCTTGGGAGTGTTTATTCCTTTGTTGCAGGTTGAGCCTTACATTGCAAACCTGTACATGTCTACACAGAAGTAAGTCCCGCTGAATTCAGTAGCCATGTGCTACTGAATATCTGGTAGGTGCCTGCTTATTCTCACAGTTTTCATTATAATTATTATTAATTTGACCTTTAAAGCCCTAAGTGGCATCAGCCTTGTATACTTGAAGGAGCTTCTCCACCCCGTCCTTCAACCTCGACACAGATCTTGCTCTAAGGGTCTTCCAGGGGTTCCCTTACTGCAAGAAGTAATCTTACAGGGAACCAGGCAGAAGGCCTTCTTGGCAGTGTCACCTGCCCTGTGGAATGCCCTCCCATCGGATGTCAAGGAGATAAGTAAATATACAATGTTTAGAAGACATCTGAAGGCTATAGGGAAGTTATCCATCTTTGAAATTTATTATATTTTTGTATATGCTAGGAGCCGCCCAGAGTGGCTGGAGCAACCCAGTCAGATGGGAGGGGTACAAATAATAAAATTATTATTATTAATTATTATCTTTTCCCTTGACAGGGACTTACAAAGCAGCTTAGAGCTAAACTTTTATTTCATTCCATTTATCTATTGAATGTGTTGTATACGATCCCTTTCCTCACATACTTCGGAGCTCAAAACACACCAGAGCTCAAAACACATGTACAAAAACAT